TAAATTGATTATGTTGTCATTAAATATCTGTGATATTGAACATTAATCCGTCACACATTTAGTTTCTTAATATCCATCAAAAATATGTTGAACATTTTCATAGTTAATTTTATAGTTACACTAATATTAATAAATCTCGAAGTCATAAAGGTCATCGTTGCTTTTTTGTTTGCACCTTTCGTTTCAATTCGTATCGTGTCGTTTTTTTAAACATTCGCCACCTGCAGTTGCAATGGGCAAAAAAACATGCCAAAAGAAATATTTTTTTGTCACAATCTTTATGATTGAAGGCAGTGTCGCTGATTTTAAACAAAGAACGACAGATAGAAACTCGCTCCATCAATATGCTAATGCCATGTTACATCTCCCGAAACGATTCGGACTGTTTTTTGTGAGCCTTCCAAATTGGTTTATTTGTTTTGTTTGAAACATATTTCTTTATGGGTTCTGTTTGTGTGCAAGGGTGAGCATGTGCAAGTGGAATTAGAAGGGGTTTTTCGACAAATTCTAAGTGGTAGTTTGTGTGTTTATGTGATCTTTGTATTAAAGTTGTAATTTTGTCAATTCATATTTTGATTAATATAGTTTCTAATACCTTTAGATAGCTTTAAAAAAGTGAAAATGTATATTTCCGTAATTTTTTAAGTTACAATCTTGAATAATACAAATAATTTATTTTTAAAAAATACATTATATCGAGATCATGACTTATGAAGTTATAAATGAGTATTCTTAAAAATACGAGTACCATTACAATAATAATAAAATAAAACTTCTTTGGATCTGACATCGGCGCGCGTATTTTTTTTTTTCTTGTTCCGACGTTTCTATACTTCGCAGGCTCAGTGGTTAAGAGATTTATTAAATGTGTTAGTGTATGCAAATATAAGAAAATACCAAATAATATCAAAGTAGTATAAAAAAGCGATCAAGTGTGAATCGGACTCGTAGTATTCCGTACCGGAATCAAGCATAAAAAACCACATTTGTTGTATGGGAGCCCCCTTAAATATTTATTTTTTCTGGTTTTTAGTATTGTTGTTGAAGCGGCAACATAAATGCCGGTTTCACGGTTCATAAGATACAGCCTGATGACAGACAGGCAGACAACGAATTCTTAGTAATAGGGTTCCCGTTTTACCCCTTGGATACTTCCGTACCCTCTTGTCAATACATTATCAACTTCTTCATGATGTGTAGTACTAAACAAAGCGTAATTTTTAATTGCTATCACGAAAGTATGTGAGCGTCACTCAAGATCAATTAGTGGTTGCGCAATGTTACCATCGTGTCAATTGTCGCCTCTTATTACGACAATCGCCATTATTCGCGCCATTAAGGGACAAATTGTACCGCCATTTAAAGGGACAAATTGTACACAAAAAAATAATCGAGAAGTAAAACAAAATCATAGAGCAAATAAGGGCCCAGCTGATAGACTTCAAAGATGAATATTATAATTTGAGTTCTCCTCGAATTCATAATAAGTATTGATATAATAATAAATGTTTAGCGAAATTTAAATTATTCGACGTTAGATATAATCTAACCTAAATAAATGTCGCTCTTTTTTGAAAGCACATTTCAATAATTGAAACAGAATATTATTCACAAATATTCTACTTTTATCTCGCCCGAGATTTTAAGATCGAATTTATAGAGCAAATAACCGAAATGTAAAAATCATCAGTTATCCATTTACAACATACTTATTACAGAAGCTTACTTATTACAACTGTTTCCCTTGTTACAAGTAATATTAGTGTCAAAATGTATTTTTAACACTAATATTACTTGTAACTTTCTTTTATACATAAATTAAATATTAACTATTATCAAATCTTTAAATTTTGAGGCATAACCCGCTTATTACTCATTGACCACACTTTAGAAGTCTAGATTTATTTTTTAATAACACAGACTATTTTTAAGCTGTTATGTAAAAGAGTTTAGTAAGTTTTTTAGTTGTCATAACACTGTATACCCGCTGGTTATATTCACACGGTCCTAGTGAACATTTTGACACTTCCAGGTGTACGATTTTTTGTCCACCACACAATAAAGGAGGAGTGTTTGCCCAAACCACATCTGGGATCAAACCGGACCTCTCGTGTGGTCGCTAATGAGAGATCACACAGGCACATAGTCAAGGGCGGTGGATTTTAACATTGTTTATCATACACCAGATGCTAGTACAACGGTCTGTCTGTCACATTAACTACTCGTAACATTGAACTTGACGATAAAAGACTCGTGAAATTAGCAGTAAAGATAAGATGGGGTAGGTTAGTTACGTACTGTTTAGACTAGACGATGGATCTCGTTTATGTTTGTTTTGTTTAGGTTAAAGAGAACAGCTCTTTGTGTTCAGTTCACTAATGTAGAGTTTATTAGTCGTAAACGAAAATTAACGATGTGGTGAAAATGGTATTCGACCGTTTTATCAACAAAATTCTTAGTATGGTAAATAAACTAGGTTGCATTTTTACTTAAAAGCTTTTTGTTATATTTTAAAAATTTCGCATCCGCAATGCTATTCAGAAAAATATTTTTAATAATAAATGCTTAAAAAAATCCACCATGACCGAACCCATGACCTTTCTTAATCCGGGCGACTGCTGTAATTTTCATTAAGAATGTTTAAAACCTTTTTGTTTATATTAAACCTCCGACGATATAAAAGCAATAGTGTTTGAAATATCTTTAACTATTTTTAACAATCCTCTACTTAATCGGATTAACGTTATTTACAATTCGCATTGTAATTTTTGAATAGAACTATTGAAGTTTATCAGTTGTTAGGTTACCGAAAGTGTATTAGTGACTATTTTAAGGACGAATGATCTTGATACTTCTAGCTAACTAATACTCATTTATTTCTTCTATAACATCGATATATGTTTGATACTCACATATCTGGATGTGATTTTTATTGATTCTATATCTAAAAGCTGTTAATTCCCTTTTTATTCTTCTTGTCAGCCAAAAGTCGTCCGGTATAATGATAAGTCAAAACGTCTTAGCTTATTTAAACAAAGAACACTTTAATTTCAATAAAAAGTTCCGCTTCGTTCGCGAAACGCTCAAAAATTCGAATGCGGATGCGAGGGCGGATATGGAGTGTATGCATTTAGCGCCCCCGTGCGGCTATTGGCGAGCTGTTACCGATTTACGACCCACTCTAAAAATTTGATTACGCGACGATTCTGGTGGTCCCATTGTGTGCCGGCTTACTATAGTCTCGAGGGTTTTACAACGACCCGTTTTTATGATCACCACACATACACTTGCCTAACAAACGAGGAGTATAAATCTAAATATTTCATTACCCGTTTGATATTTAAATTCTAATAGTGAAAAGGGTGATTAAGATAAAGGGATTCCGATCGCGGTGGTTCTCGCATATATTTTGCGGTTGTATCGTCACCTCTTTGTCGGCGCGCGCGCACTCAAACGCACCGATAAGTGGGACGTGGCGTGATAAGCCCCATCTCGACGAACGGTAGCCGGAATGGACGGATTTGTCGATGTACAGTCAACAAAAAAGACCTATGTCACGTATTTAAAATAAACAATCTGTGTTTGGTGTTCCCTTGGCTATATTTGTGATGTTCTGACAGTATGTAAACATTGATGTCGAAAGGATGTTGGAGGATGTTGGTGACAGGACGCTCTTTTATTGTGAGTTTGCCATGTTGACTGTCAAGCGAATTTAGACGGAAACATTTACAAAATAAAAACTCTAATCAGGTAAACATCCTTGACATTCGTAATAATAACAAAAGGATATTACGATTCTTAATCTATAGGTATATATTATAGATTAAAGTCGTAATTTCCTGTTCATTTTGGATATACTATTCACTACATTAATATAATAAAAAAACTTAAAGCTTATTTTAATATAATACTACTTTTATCTTTAATTATAGTGAAATTAATTTAAAAAAAGGTTTTTCATACCGTTATAAATTACATCACTAATATGATTATTGTAAAATATAAAGATGCAATAATAAAAAAATTAAAGAAGTGTAACTTAAGATTTTATATTAAATAAAAGTTGTTAGTTTAAATATAACCGAATAAAGGTTTTGCTTGAGAAATAATATAATAGAGGTGATATATCCGCTTAGCGTATCTGTAATATTTATAACTAAAACGTTCTAAACTGTTTAAGGTTTAGGCGTTACCTATTCATTTTAAGCGTCAATTAATCAAAAGTAAAGGTTTATAAAGTCACTTATCTTAAACGTCTCTAGAAACCAGATATTAAGGCAGCATCGCTATGCGAATGACGCTATGCTGAAATCTCTATGATGAGCTGACACGTCAGAAAAGTTAGACTATCAATAAATTAAAGTGATAGTACAACGTGTGGTTTTCCTGTCTGTACATCGGGTCCCACGTAAGGCGGTAGCCAGCGTCGTAAACTGTAAATGGGACTAATTCAGTTAGTTGTTAATTGAGCCGATGTGGCCCGCTATCGCGCTGCATTAGCGCTCCCGGAGGCCTGCCGCGCTGATAACCATGTTATGACTGATGGTAGCCTGCCCCTCCACATGAGAGCTGATTATAAAACTATTTCTCAATTTAAATGAATATTTTAATAGTTAAAACTATTTTGGATTAAATACAGGTCAGGTAGAACCAAGTTTTTCACCCACATTTAAAAGAAATATGTACCAAATCGTGAATTGAATGTGTATGTACTTAATAATTTAAAGGCTACATTTACTATTAGTGTGTTATAGTATTCCCCAATAGTTCTTACGAAAGATCCTCGTTGAATTGAATATACACAGATAAATTTGCCGTTTTAATTTGCTGTTGACAATTAAAATCAAAAGTAGATTTTCTTGATAAGCATTTAGTATATTTTGTATATCCTTTATGATTTCATAATATAACAGTATTTAGATCAGAAATGATCGGTATTTATAACACGTCTGAGGCTGTGGTCATTTCGAAGATAACTCGGCGCCATATGTATCTCATTTATGACGCTATCGGCAGCCAGGACGTGGGTGCCAAAAGCGACTCGTTCACAAACACTTTTACTCCATCACATGCTTTTATAATCACGATAAAAATGACGATTTATGTGGCATTCAATTTTGATCCTTAAAGCTCCAAGATTATGTAGCTTCCAGACTTTTATTCGGTGTATTTTATAAATTCTGTCATCAAATGCGCCGCTTTGTGAGAACGATAATTTTATTATAGCCTTCTTTGTTTCTTGTTTTTTTTTTAAACAGTGTGATTTGTTTTATGGATTCAAAAATTTTGTACGTATACATTAAATGGTACATTTATTATCCTGCTTAAATAACAGTTCGTGCTAATTTTGTAATAATTATTAGCATAAAGAATCATACCCTATTTAAACATTGTTTAAAGTAGCTTTGACACCTGTTATAACTTCAAAACATTATTTACAAATTACGAATCTCCCTGGCCTCTAGATGAAAAATGCTCAGATATTCTGTTTTAAGCAAAAACTAATTTAGATTATCACTAATGGTTGTTTATAAAAAGAACATGTGACAGGTCAATCAATGTACAGAAAATGAACATGATTCTTTTATCTTATAGAAAACATTTACTCAAGTATACATATTATATCTTATACTTATTTTTATAAGACTTGCAAAATATACATATATACCTGTAAACGTTTTTCAAATATCACTATGCCAATGAAATTTTATATTTCGTTAATTTTTTTTCTAAAAAATGTTAACACGAAGACTTCGGCTATTGTAATCTCAATAAATATTGTGTTATCTAACGTTTTTGTTATCTTGTTACAGACGCATGTTCCCGTCTCTCCGCGTTTCCCTCGCTGGCTTGGACCCTCGCGAAGAATACTGCGTACTCCTCGAGCTGTCACTAGTTGGACGTAGACGCTGGCGCTGGGCGGGCGGAGCTTGGGCAGCGGCGGGCGGTGCTGAGCCACAGTCGCCCCGCCGGCTCATGCTGCACCCTGACTCCCCAGCACCTGGCCACCATTGGACAGCCAACCCTGTATCATTCAGCAAACTGAAGCTTACAAACAATACAATGGATGCTCAAGGACATGTAAGTTATATTTATCACGATCATTTCAACCATACGACTTTTTATTATTGATTGATCCACTCAGATTACTTATGTAGAATTGATCCTAACATTAATATAATTTTTTGGGATTCTAAGTGTAAGTATATAAATAATTTATGTTATCTGCGGCTTCACTTGCTGTTTAAAAGGAATGTAATGTTATTTTGTGGTAAAAAGCAGTATGGTGGCACTTCTGTTGAACAAAGAAAACAAATTGAATTTGATCTTGACAAACTTTATTTATTCGATTCTATAAACTATAAAATTAACTGAAGTAACTGGTGTATTCATTATTATTTTATACTACTTGTGACGACAGAGTAAATATTAAAATTATTCCAAATTGAAATAAGACTTTCTTTATTTTGGTTTAGAAAGATAGGTCAACAAAATTTGCACAAACACAAAAAATAACTTTATTTTAATTTGCGGCAGAAACTTTTATAGTCATTATTATTTAGGGATGATGCCTGGCTAAAAAAGACATTCTATTAATTCCGTCAATCATATACTAGAGAAATATTATATTATATTTTTTCTTCAATTTTACAACAAATAGCTTAGATAATAGGCATTCAAGGTGAGGATTAAGGGCTCGTAATGTAAACGCCATGCGGCAATTTTAACCAATCTACCTAACGGACCATTAAAAAAATTGTCATCGTCTCTAAGTTGGTTTTGCTATTTTGTGACGTATAATAGTCTAGAGTTGGCTTATCGGAATGTGGTATGTAGTTTAGTATTTAAAGATTATCACACGGTTTATTATAATCATGAATTAAAAATTTTACTGCAATAGGTAATTAATGGCCAATGAAGTGTTATAAAATTACTTATAAAATAATAGATTTAAGAGTACTTTAGTGTTGTTATAAAGATAAATTCAAATACTTTTGAAGTGATGCAAAAAAATAACAGTTTAATATTGATTGTTTTTAATTAATCTTCTAAAAATATTAAATAAATATCTGTGTACGCAGTTTTAATCAAAAATAAAAATATTTAAAAGCATTTGTGATAACTTGCGTAGATACTTACAACCACACAACTGTTACATTTATCTAGTAGTAGTGGTAACCCAACAGTCGAAGCATTACCAAAGACTCATTAATATATACATCTTTATGGTTGTGTGACATTCATGGATATTCATTAAACAAAAGTATTAAAACAATCCTTTTTTTTGAATTTCAATGTTTTTATTAAACATGTTAAGTAAAAAATTTGAAGAAAAAATTAAAATTTTAACATATTTGTTTAGTCAACAAAATTTATTTAAAGTTCTTAATTTAATGTAATGTTTCATTTGTAAAATTGAAGAAGATATTGTGTAGGTAAGAATTATTATTATGAAGACATGCAAAAAATATACTGAATAACATTATTTCTAATCAGGATTTAAAATAAATATTTAAATTGCTAGATAAAGTAGTTAGGTAGTATATTTAATCGAATTTATAATTACTACTTTATGACAAACGAAATTTTAGGACTAGTTTATATGGGTGCCTTATAAAAAATATTCTTTATGTTGCTCTAAGAACAACCTTCAACTTTTGAAACAAGCCAGTCGTGACTATGTTGAACACTACCTACATACTTGCGATGGGAACGCCTACCAAACGAACACTTCCCAACAAAAACTAGTTTCGAAACAACCGACATTCGACCTTATATCATCAAAGATACAGTCTACAGTCATCGTCTACTTTTTCACTACTTATACTTATGATAAAAACTATACATATTTATTGTGAATTGGAACTTTAAAGCGACTACGTAGAGGTTACTATCACAAAGTATAACCGACTAATTCATATGCACCGCAGGAGTTTCGTCATACAAAAGAGTCTATAAGTATTTCGTCACTGGAACAAACGCGCTGAAAGCCTTTGTGTTGAGGCTGCGATGCGTCAACTACCTAACTGTGTTCTTTTATTCCCGGGTTTGTTTGGACAGGGCGGCTGTCGCCGTGTGCTTCTCCGTCTGACCTAGCTCGCATCGTTTGCACTACTCTGTTTGTAGAAATTCCGTATGAATGATGAAAAACACATACAGAAAGTTGTAACGACATCTTTATATTTACCCCCAGCGTTTTATAAGTAGGAATGCGCTGCAACTGTTCCCTCAGCATGTAATATTCAACAGCCCACGGATAACCAAGGCGGAACCAAGTTTATGGTAAAGAATAACATTATACAAACGTGCAGGTTTAATGAATCACCTAACTCATAATTGTTTTCATGAATATTAATACAGCGTTTACTTAGATAATAACGTACATCACAAGTGAAATTGCTTCAGTTTAACAGATATTTTAATCAAACTAATGCTTATGAACGATGAAATTAAGCTTTATTTATATCAATCAACTTGAAAATGGATGTATTAGTCGTTCCACTTGAAAACACAATTATACGCATACGACAACGTATCGTTGTCTATCAAAACAAACCTTCGAGGCTAGACAGGTTACATGGTTCATTATGACATGTGAAATGAAAAAAAAAACACAATACGCATGGTTGCACTTTATGCTTCGGGTCGAGAATGAAATATAGAGGGCGCGAGCATAGCGGGGCGGCTTTGTTGGTAACAAAGGAGGCTTGCTACCGAGATGCCGGCAAGCTGCCAGTTCGCACGGAAAACTATATAACCTATTGTTGTACACTTTAAGATTAGAACACCTGCTATAAAAAGTTCTGTTTTCAATAATATTCACCATTCTTGTTCACGTAAACCCTTTTTGTTTGCGACTTTTTCGACAGCTTTGAGTATCTCGGATTATTTGTGTGAGAATATCTTGACTAATTAAGAAAGGGATTAGTGGGTGCACTCGAAATAAAATGGCAATTATATTGAAAGGATTACCTTTGGTGTGTGAGTGGCCTTTAATGACTGCTTAGTGAGAAGTCAGTTTTGATTATTATCTGTTATCTTGCAATATCCATTTTGTTAAAGTGGGAATTACAATGAATTCAATTGTAGGTTTCAATAACTTATAACGTGTTAAACAATCTAGACTTAAAATAACATTAATTAAAAAGCTTTTAAAGGTTGAATATATAATTCAATTATTTATTTTCATTTTCAAATTCCGATACTTTGATTTTAGAAATGTTGACTGTTTATAATTAATTTACAATAATTTTTACAATTTATAATATATATCATATTTTAAGCATTTTGTTTTTCTATACTTATATTATTAAAACATAAGCTTCTTGTTTGTAGGAATCTTCATATATAGTGATACGAATATGGTCTTTCACTTATGGAAATAATTAACGCAGGTAAAGTCGCGGGAAAACAGCCAGTAAAATATAAAAAGTACAAAATTAAAAATGAACTAATAAGTCAATAAGGATGAGATACTTACGAAATGCTTAAAATAAAAAGTATTGAAAAAGTCCAAACGATTTAAAGAAATTTAATAATACCACAAATTTGAACTTCTTAAATGATTTTATCTACCCTAAAAATAGTTATCGTCCTAAACACATGTTTACCGGTTTTGCGGAAACATTTTGTACAATGATCTTGCCGCAGCCTTTATTATCATGTTACAAGATCTTTGTCACGCATTGATCGTCTGCCTCTACTCTAATTATAGTAGATAAAATCAAAACCTGGGGAAAAAAAAGAAAAGGAACTGTCTGTAAAAACCTTTTTTTTATTTTGGAGAAATTGTTTATATAAAAAAAAAGAAAAAAAATATTGTGTATAAACCTTCTTCATTTTGGAGAAATTTTAGCTCACGTTGAAGTCTTTTGTATGAAATCGTCTACATGGTACTACAGTAATAGTTTTATTTAATTTGTTTGTTAGTTTACTTGTTAAAGTGCACTCGATTTATATTAAGAAAGCTAAAACATGTTCTGATTAATATTAAACGGGTCTGCAAACTAGATTTTTATATACAAATGTTTCTAATTGTATGTATGATTGTTTAGAATGTTTTTTCTCGATTAATGCTCAATTTTCATGATATTATTTAAAGAAAAATAAAACGTAGTGAAAATAATTTTGTAGTGGTGGTATTGGTAATGATTTTTTTTTTTTCCTTAACCATTTCTTAAACTATTCAGTTTGCTAACTCAATAATCAAACTGAAAAGATTTATCAAATAATAATATTCGTATTAAATATAAATGGGAAGGTTTGTTTGTTTTAATTATTCGTTGTGAAATTATTTTTTATTTACTAATAAAATAGAAAATTATCACGAAAGAAATGATTTAGTTTAGCATATATATGATTTAGTTTGTTCTTTTTTACTCCTCTATATAAAAAACTGAAGAATGCCATGTTATTTGTTAGCGCAAAAAACAACAAAGGAAAGAATTCTAATTCTAATCTACACTTCAATCGAATTTGATCGAGGACTTATCAATTTGATGAACGAGCTTCTGAACGCGGTGGTACCTTTATAGTCTATCTGTCAATCTGTCTGTGTCACTCCTGGTAACATTAAAACACCTCAGTGTGTTCTATGAGAATCTCGTGAGATTCAACAGCGAGAGGTTTATGTTTTTGCGAATACTAATATTCTTTTTCTTTTCTTAAATGAAGGTTTTATTACGTTTAGATGCATGAAGTTTTTACGTTTAGACGCATAAAGTCTTTTCACGTGTAAATCGGCGACTCAAAGAGTATTGATGAAATTTTTATCTCGAAAACTTCTCCTTCATAATTGTAGCAATATAATGTCGTGCGTTGTTTAAAGAACGTTATTCCAGAGAGAAGATATCTCTATTTTCATTATAACAACTTCATTCAAGTTTATAATTTAAGAAAAAAAATATTTAAAATTTTGTTCGTACCAATACAGTTTGAAATAGGAATGTATAAATATTATTCATGATTCTAATCTTCACGATGTTTTAACAAAGCGGAAGGTATAGAAAAGGTGGATGAAATTTGAATTTTAGAAGTTTATTTATTATAAGGAGAACTCCTTAACCATCCCTAAGGAAGGCCTGAGCCCCTGCAGTGGGGACGTAAAAGGGCTGGTGTTGGTGTTGTGGTGTTGAATTCATTATAAAATTGAAATTTTATAATGAATAAACTTCTAATATCCAATTACTTCAAATATAAGGTAATTATAATAATCCCGTAAATCCTCGATACTCTGTGATGGGACAAGTGGATTTTTTAAGCAGTTTTCATTAAGAAAATTTTTCAGTATAGCATCATGAATGCAAAATTGATCAAATATAATACAGAATAATAGTTAAATAATAGTTTTCGTCGTTGTAACAATTGCCATAAAATAACACATAGTTAAAAAAATAAACAAAATAACTATAAATTAAATGTTAATGACGATGAAAGTTAGAAACAACATTAAATTTTATGTAATTTGTTAAAATAAAATACTAACTAAACGTCCTTCTGTTATTATTTACTTAAAAACATTGCGATTCAATGCATTGCAGCGTTCTCCTGGCGAAAGATTTACTTTTAAACGATATTCTTTTAACATTTATATGAAACAAAAAATATTATATTCTAATTATAATGTAAGTGTTAACGTAGATATTATTTCAAATTACTAATGGCTATTTCATTAATTCCATAGTTTTAATAATTTGCTAATAGACATCTAAGAATTGTCTCCAGATCAATTAATATCATATAAAATAATTCTTGGAACCGTCTAATACGATTTGTAAATTAAAAAAAACACCTAGATACATCATTAACATTTTTCTCCTTATTGGAACTAAATAATTAACAAAACTTGGGTCATAGCTGTTATAATATCGTGTTAAAATAAATTTCTAATTTCTTGTTTTAAACTTTTTATAGCGTGATTTATCTGGACTCGGGTTTTAGTTTTTGAACTTATTTTTTTATTTAATTATTTTTCGGATATATTTAAGCAAAACTGTATATATACCCTACACGGAATGATTCTATATATTTTTTAATTTCTTACTTTATGCACTGTAGGGACTGCTGTTGCCAATTTAATGTAACGTCACATAGCCTATCTAGTAGCAGGCGAACGACTAAAACGCATGAGTAGTTTCGAAGTTATACATACCAGTCAAAATCATAACTCTCCTTTTAGCTTAGCTGCCGTAGTCGGGTGTAAACTACTTTTTGTTATTAGCTTTTATCAAGAAAACGAACGCAAAAATAACTTTAATTAAATCATCAATTAATTTAAATTAATTATGATTAAAGTAGGTAAAATCACTTGTCACCAGCATTCGATTGGAAACGATTAACATAGTTATGAATTTTACTAAAATTGTATAATATCAAAGATTAATTAATTGTATAATTAGTTTAAACAGAAACGTCATCTATTAACATAGTTTTATCACTTTTGTTTACATTATAGTTTTAAACCATTGACAGAAAAGATTCGAGTGTTTTCATTGAATAAGCTCCGAATCTACTGACACGATTTTAAAAATTAATACACCTAGTTGTTGCTACATCATACTTGGATAACATGGGCTATATTTTACGTATTGGAAGTTATAGGAAAAAATCTAGTAACTAGTCTACCACTTCAGTGAATTCCTTTATTTCCAAACCATTTAAGTACAATTTCACCTTATTTCTTTATTTAGCTGTATGTTCATCTAAAAAGTTAATTATGCATTTAATAAGTACGTAGTAATAGGTGCCAGGAATTCGCTAAGTTAAGGTGGTCTCGTTTGTCGCCGTGCGGAGCCTCGGTGCTACAAAAAGGTCCATGTCTAGACATGCCCCGGCATCCTATCAATACCAACACGTGTTTGCAAAATACCGACGCACTTGACATTTCTTTTTGTTGTTGTTTTGGTCGTTAATTAAAAACAAAGGGATCTACTTTAAACTAACTTATAATTTTACAATTGATATCGATTAACTTAAGTCCAATGCATCTTTGGTGTTTTAGAATGCAATCGAAAGATGAAGGAAGACATAGACATCTTGAGGAAAGAGGTTACACACTTTCTTGTCCTAATTTTTTTTTTAGAATAAAACCCATGCACCGCATTATATATCTCAAAATGTTTTTCTTGATACTCCGTCTCATGTTTAAGACTAATGTGTGCTGTATCTTTTGTTTGGCTGTAAAAATTCATTGCATTAAAACGATATATTAACCGTATCACTCCAGACTTGGATGTATATATCCCTTTGCCTTTAGTTCAAAATATAATACAGTAAACAGGTTAAATTTAGCTGGAAAGAATAGAAACTCTTTAATGACTTGTAAAAAATCAACACTACTTTATTAGGTATGTAATTTAAAATGTATTATTAATTTTCTAAGAACTATCACTGCGACTTGGCGCCGATACTTACCGTCGGAGTTTCTTCATTGTTATCTATCAAAAACATTTAGAAAAATAAAGTAAAAAGTGATGAGTTTGAGGTAAAACAGTAAACCCTTTACGCCTCAAGTGGTACTCGAGCTCCTGAGCAGGTAGCGTTATTCGCGCCTCAAGTACTTACAAGAGCTTTCACAGTCAACCGGGCATAAATATTTACTTTCGTAATAATACATCTTATGTATATACGTTTAGAGTTGTATTTAGAATGAAAATCTTATGTTTTACGTGAACCTTTTAATACAACAACTTATGTCGCGACTGTGTCTCCTACGCATAATATTGAAGATGCACGGATTAGGTCTATTTTTTATATTTTAAAGACCATTTTCGTTTTGTAACTATGTTTTTAAAAAAATAAACGTCGTGATTCAAAGGCGTGTGTACACTAACAACCAGTTAGATGTTATACTACATAATTGTAAGACCTATACCCGACGCCCCTAAATACGAAAGTAATTCTGTCTTTCATTGACAAAATACTACATTATTGATCAAACTTGTACAACGTAAATTTTTAAGCATCTAAAAATAATCACCTTTTTTGTCGTTTACACTTGTTTTAAGTTTGCATTGCAAATAATAAATGAAATAGTTATCATCTATCTCTTTTCGTAAAAAATGCACGCACGTAACTTGGTGTCTAATTGATTTGCGAGTTTACTAATATTTACTTATGTGTTTTCAGAGACTTATTCAGGTTATGAACTTTTTAAAATGTAACTGTACATATATAACATATAGGTATAAGATCTCGTGTTAGGTAAAATGTAATTATGATCTAAAGAAATTATAAGCCTGGTAAAAGGTATATGTTTCCAAAAAACTTCACATAAGTTATTATCTTCATAATGTTAGCAAAATTATTATAAACTAGCTGTTTTCCCGTGACTTCGCCTGCGTATGATGTAGCTTACCGTAGGTGAAAGAATTACTTTAAAGTATTTTTATTCTCTTTATAATACATATTCGTATATTAGAAAGATTATAAGCAGTTTAGTCACATTTCAGTGATACAGTATCTTAAACTGTGTAATTAAATAATTGAATGAAGTCATTATTCAACTGTACTTCTCTGTATAAAATAAAAAGAAGGAGAAATAAACAGCCGTGTATCCCCGTAGTCAACTTAGAAAACAAACTACATATTATGTTTCCATTTCATTTTCCAGATTTCCTTGACAACGTTGATGTTTTTAATATATAATTGTTTATTGTTAACAGATGGTGCTAACCTCAATGCACAAGTATAGGCCACGAGTGCTGGTGGTACGAGCGAGGGACGCGGCCGCGCTCGCGTGGGGAGCTCCACACGCCGCTTTCTCCTTCCAAGAGACTGAATTCATAGCTGTTACTGCATACCAGGTCGGTTGACTCTTTTTACATTTAAAAATATTCAAAAAGAGTCCGAAACTTCATGAAAAACCGCCTTGCACACGTTCAAAATAGTTTTATATAACACAACATAACGCTTTGAAATAAATTACTTCTTGAAGTAGGTTATAATTATTACCTTTTAAAGTAGGTTTTATTCGATTGAACCTTTATGTTGTGTGCGCTGTGCTAAAGTAAAACTCATTTTTTTTTTGAAACGCGAAGGTGATTGAGATGATAAAGTATGGAACTACACCAATAAGTGCTGAATAATTAGAATTCTAATGTCACCTTCGATAGTTTAGAATTCACATTCGTTAGTTAATGTAAACTAACAAATGTGAATTATTTAACTCGAATTTAACAGCTAGTAGCTGAAATTTTAACATAAAAACACATACACCCGTTAATGATACCAATCTAAAGGGAACTTCGTTATAAACACCGTATCACACACGTCTCGTGTTCGTAGAAATCGTAGTGAGATTCCGGGAACGTTCGCCGATTCGCACATGATACTCTACTTTTTTTCTACCAAAATAAGGCGCCAAAGCTTTTACGCGTATCGTCGTGGTTACGCAAAAAAATCGAAAGATACCGACTCAGTCCGTCGGCGTTCGGCTCAAGTGGTCATTGTGTAAGGTCCTTTAACGAAACAAAAGCAACTAATTTAGAACTTTCGGCTCCTTTGCTTATATTTATTAGTATTGTTAAAATTTTTGGACCGTTCAACAGTGCGAAACAGCGTGAAAAAGAACAACGGTAATTCTTTAGCATTTGGGATGTATTGAAATGATAAGGGATGAGTTAACGTCAAAGCTACCGAATACATATCAATGTTAAGAGTAGAAAGAGCACTTAATTTTATCTCTTAACCGACGAAACAATAGCACAAGATTGTAAAATAAATAGTTACTTTCCACTTCTAAACTTTTACAAATCAATTTCAACTTTTAGAAATCGTCTCTCGCAATTCAAAATTAAATTAATAAATAATTCAAAGCCGTCTTAAAAGCAGAATCTTTTTAAAGTCAGAGTGCTAACAAGATTAACTTTAACAAGAACCTATATTTTGATTGTAGTTCTTGACCGGTGGACATAGGACTGTAATTCTAAGTTATTTCATTTCAGTGACGTGCGTGATATTACCAGAGGTATCAAATGTCACTTAAGTACTTGTATTCTGAAATCACCGCTGGCAAATAATAACATCGACTCATATATGACGGCAGATACGCGCGTCAGTTGCTGAACATCAGAATTGACAAAAATATGATATTAGCTTTCCGCTAGTGGGTTCGCCCGCGTCTTGTATTATATATGTAAACCTTCATATTGAATCATTCACTCTGCATACTATTGAAATCTGTTTTTAATGCAGTTTTAATAAAAACTCTTTGTTTTTACTACGTATAGATGACATTCAGGCACATAAGACAGACGATCCGTTATCATACTAACCCATATTTCCTTGAGATCAGATGTGTTCCGATCCTTAATTGAAGGTTCATGCGAAGATATCGTAAAACAAAACCCCTACGATTGTATCTGTTTGACGATGAACTCCTAAGCTGAATTGAAAGTTGAATGTATTATGCTAAATATGCTAAAAGCAGATATTGGCGATGATAATGTTTATTCAGTGGCGTAGCATGCCTTGGAGGGGCCCCGTATAAAAATTTGTTTGGAGCCCTTATGAAGGATACAAATTTCTCATATCTCGGATACATCGATTATTGTGAGATTCCCCCGTTGAAGTAAATTATTTTAACGTAGAAATCACGGAATCCGCGAAAACCGATCTATGGTGTTGCCAATTTTGAAACGAATGCTTTACTTGTTATTTTTTTACTTTTATCATTTCTGAAATAAAAAGAAATTTGGGAAGTTTTTATTAGTTTTTGCTTACGTATTGGGGGCCCCCATGGTCCGGGGGCCCCATATAATTGATACGGCAAATACGGCAGTAGCTACGCTCCTGTGTTTATTGAAGATGTCAGAAAAAGTATACCTAACGAACCGTAGCAGGTCACTAGTGAACTATAAACCTACGACCCTGTGTTTATTAAAGATGTCATAAAAATTATACCTAACGAATAGATTATACCCCAGGTCACTAGTGAACTATAAACCCACAAATGACAATGTGACATTCACAATGAAACCGTATCGTAATAACAAGATGTTCGCTACATAATAATACGATTAGTAACACATGTGGTGTGCAAAAATACAGTAAAGGTCTCCCGCTGTTTGTTTTCGATCACTAAGCGTTTTACCTTTGGTGGTCAGCTCACTTTATATAATACACTCTCCTATAATTAGTCCGTAGGGCGGTCTCTTTGTCGCATCGACTTCATCGAGGCGCGAACGCTTTCTCGCGTCCATCACTAGCCGGCAGCTTTGAGGGGATAATCCGGGAATTGTCCGCGTAACGGGATCCTTAGGTGGACAATGAGCGGCGGCGGAGTATCGTTGCGCATTATTCAAGCGCAGGCGACCGATCGCCGCCGAACCATTTGTTGCGAATTACCAACGAATTACAAACTGTCTTTCATATACGCCGACTTATTATTGTACAGCGTAACTAGGTGGCATACTCATTGTATCCAATAGCCAAAATAAGGTGTACCTTGACAAAAAAAATAAACAACCGAAACCATATTTCAACTTGTCATCTCTGTTTGTTAACTCCTAAACTGATAATTTCGGCTAGACAGGGAAAGCAAAAATTTACTCTGGCCCTAATTACACATTCCTAAAAAACATGGCGACAGTCGCCAATATGTGAAATAGTCACGCAAAAGGCAAAAGCTAAGACGGCAAGTTTGGCGCATGACGTCACGGGCGACAGGGCGGGCCAGGGGCGGCGCCTGCGCACCCCTGTCCGCTAACCGGTGCGCTCGAAATGCGTATTTTAGTCATCTAATAACAGGCTTTTAGCACTCCACGCTATCTCGGTGGATTTTTCGGTTATCTATTGGCACTGAACAAACGGCACCCGCCGGCGCCGTCTTATCATCGAGCAAACAGTCGTTTACGAGTCACTTCGCGTATCGCACGGAACTATTTGCGGTCAAAATTTCGCCAGATAATGCTATGGAAACGTACGGTTGCGTTACAAACAAAGGTGACGAATCGAAAGTAACGAAACCTTTTTTTGTTTTAAGCGCAGGCGCCACTTTCAATTAAGAATAGTGTCTTTTAGAAACTCGTCGTCACTTGGGCAAACGTAGTAACAGAAGTGTTTGTAGTATCAGGTTTCAATTCGGTTTTTAGGGTTTTCAGTGGCGTCAGGGCTTTTTCGGGGTCGCTCCGGGCGGGCGGTGCGACGTGACGCGACATGTCGACGGCGACATGCTTGCGCGCGATGCTAATTGGCCTGTCGCCAGCATACCGGCACATGTGCGACAATTATCCCTTACAAGCTATTAGCGACACGAGAGATGTATGCGGAAACGGATGTTCAAATTGCATTCTCGAAACGAGATAACAGTTCCCATTTGTATTGGCTCATTTGTATTGTATGAGAAATTATAACATTTAGGTACCTTAGTTAGTTTCCGTTTCAAATGCAACTCAATTAAATTACTTCTATAAATTAGTTTTCGGTAAATTAAAACATACATATTTTGTAACCGAAATTTCTTGATGGGTGTATTTTCTTCGATCATTAATTAAAACGTTTTCTTTATTTACAGAACGATCGCATCACAAAACTGAAGATTGACAATAACCCGTTCGCCAAAGGCTTCCGTGCGTGCGGTCAATCTAAATGTAAAAGGAAGAATACAGATTCAAGTGCTGACGGTGTTGAACCTGTCGGCTCGGAAACATCGGAAGCCAAGAGACCCTGTTCTGATGCCGCCTCATCCTGTTCGGAAGAAGGCAGTTTACGTTCAACTTCACCCAGATCTCCACCGCTAGCTGAATCTCCAGCCCCACTAGTAGCTTCCCCAGAAAACATCACTCCGCCTCCACCTTCCTTCTATCCTGAATTTCCATACTTAGGACATCTACCCATGACTATGCCAATCAGTCTTTGGCCTAGTCCGCCGATGGCAGCGGCTTTCTCGTGGGGACCTACACTACCCCCACCACCGCCACGAGCACCCACGCCCCCACCAGCGGCACCAGCGCCTTGCCGTCGTGTCAAGAGCTTCACAATCAGCGCCCTCCTCGGAGAAGGATGAGGAGTCAATTGTTTAAAGTTGAATTCAAATAAATACATTGTATACAACGGGCATGATTCGCAATAGTACTTACATAGATTATGTAAATATTGTTAATTTAATTTTTTTATTTAAAAAAAAATAAGTACCTACTACCTCGTAGACATAGCGATAAATCTATTTTTATTGTGATAAACGTGCCTTACAATGTAAAAAACTACTTTTAAAAAGCTTTTAGCTCAGTTATATAACTGATCTTTAATCTAAAACTACACAATTTTTTGTAAGTTTTTTATTCTATTAGCTTAATTTGTTTTCTGTTTATTATTTTTAAAAGAATCTTTAAAATGTATTTGATATAATTATTAGAAATATATAAACATTATGTAAATAATGTAAATATTTACTTATAGTTTGTGGGTGAGAAATTAGGTAGTTGTAAAAGATAATAAATATATTTTATACTTAATAAATGGTTTGCTCTCTTCTTCCTAACCTAACCTAAATGGTGCGTATAAAAGCTTTAGATTTAGGTAATTATAGAATATTTATCTTTAAAAATATTCTTAATATTTCACAAGTAGGTGCCTCGAGTTGAGATCTTGTAAGAAACAAATATTATAATACTAGGCACCTATTATAACTTAGATTATATAACCTAAGGTGTATAGCAAGAATTTTAAATATAGTACTACTATAGTACTATTTGTAAATATAGCAACGAACAAGAATAAGGTCAAAAAATTTGATAGTAAACGTGTGACAATTTTATAATTAGACAAGAGTTAGATATACCGATAGCAGGATACTATTTAGTATAAATATTTACCTAATAATTACGTTCGCTCCTCTCTGCCTACTGGATGACATAGACTATAATTTATGCGGACGAAGTCGAGGGAAAACAGCTAGTTATAAATAAATAGACCATCGCCTGGTGTCTGAATTGAGAAAAGTTCAAAATTTCAACAGACTGTTCTTAATAATGTAAGTTTTTTACTCAGTATAAGGCAAAATACCTAGTTTTTATCTAACTGTTATCAACTCAATTAAGAAACCATGTGTATATCAACTAATTTATATATAATAAATAAATCTATGAAGAGTCAAAATGTAGTGTAGGTAGGTGGCGCCATCTATCTTATCGTTTATGAATTAGCTAGGAATGTTCTGCTGAGGATGAGAACATTCAATTATTTGAAATAATTATTCATATCTAATAATATTTCAAAATTGCTATTTTTTGTTTAAATCTGTTACTAAAATTGATAATGCAATTCTGCATTTTTTACTTACTTTACTCATAATAGTCAATTTAAAATGACATACTTTGATGAATGCGAACCACTCGGCTAAGGAGATTGTATGGAGGAAGCACATACAGTTACAATTCTATACATAGAATGTAGCTCGGTGGCGTAGTGGATAAGCGCCTCGGCCCGCGATCGTTGTCGTTAAGCAACATTCGCAAGGGTCGGTCACAGGATGGGTGACCAAAAAATGATTATCTCGAGCTACTCCGTCCTTCGGAAGGCACGTTAAGCCGTTGGTCCCGGCTACATTTGCAGTCGTTAATACCCTCCAATCCGCATTGAGCTAGCATGGAGGGTCATGGCTGATCCTCCTTAATCATCCATAAGAAAGGCCTATGCCCCTGCAGTGGGGACGTATAAAGGGCTGATGATGATGACATACATGTATCAAAATATACGTTTTGACAAATTAGGTGTATGACACATCTATTTCATATCAATTTAATTGATGACAACAATTTATTAATGTAACTGACATTAAGGTTCATTTATAAGTTGATAAATGTAACAAAAAAAAACAAATTACCTTTGACAATATATTTATATTACAACACAGTGAGAAATGAACTATACCAATCATGGAATACATATATATATAATTGATTACATGTTGCATTCCTAACCCTACCCTGCTAACAAATTTTGAATCTCCGAACACAGTATATTAGGGTTGATGTCGGCTTTTGTATTAGTGGTGGCTACGGATGGTGCACTAGACTCTCTGTTGCATGCCTTCTTGTGAACGAACCAATGCAAACGTTGGCATTCTCTGTCACAATACTGCACAGATTTGCATTTGGAACACTTCTTTGCCGGCTTCTCCTCTCCACATGTACTGCAATATGGAATTGCATCAACAAATCCACGCTGGCCATTTAAGGTGCAGTTAATAACTGATAATGCAGAAGGAGGATCTTTACTAGTCAATGATGTTACCATTTGATGAAAAGTAGTGCACTCTCTAAACGGAAATTCTCTTACACAATCTTTGAGGAAGCTATCCATTAAATCCAACGAAACACCATCCTTACCAGGTTTCAGTAGCTTCTTTGAAAATATTTCTACAATATCATATTTCTTTTCATCCTTATCTGAAGCAGGTTTCTGTTTGTCTTTTATATTGTTGATCTCTCTTACAATGTATGCGAGGTAGTGATATTTGAAAGCCATAACTTCATTTGTTTCACTGCCTCTCGTCATTTCTTTTTTACACAATAATTCTAAAACTTTACTGACTTTCTCAGCATTCTCTAGAAGAGCAGGTGAATGTTGTAAGTTAAGAGCTAGTCTAACTGGATGTATATTGACACCGAGAACAAATTTATGTAGCGGATCCACTAAGACTGCTGGAAGATATGGTTCAGTTTGTTGTCCTTGTATGGTAGAGAAGTAAGCTATTTCGCTACGCGGTACATAATTATTAATGGTGGCAACAGTATGATGATTACCAACAAATGCAGCCATTTGTGATGCTGTACGACCAACAGAGTTTGTTGCAGTGGGCTTAGCGCCAGCATCCAATAACAACTTGCACACTTCAGAACTACCAGATAAAGCACCAAAATGCAATGCCGTGTAGTTGTATTCATGCTTCCCAGAATTCACATCAGCTCCCTAAAACATAACAATGCAACTTAAATTTTTGATTTAGATTTTATTAGTCATTCGCAAATATCGGTAAACGACTTACTCTGTCGAGTAATAACTGAACCATGTCCTTATTCCCTTTATATGCAGCATGTTGGAGTGCCGTCATACCATTTTCGTCAAAGAAATCGACTCCACCCTTGTGCTCTGCTAGAATGTTTTTAAACTCTGTTAAATCACCCTGAGCAATGGCATCAAAAATGGTTTTGTCAGCAGGAGCAGTTCCGTCGTTTTTATCACTCATTTTCTATTTCTTTCTTTTTTTAGGATTATGAAATCGAAAAACAACCAACTTAGAAATGCAAGTTTGACAAATATATATTTTTTTCTTTGAATTGCAACGGGAATAAGATCATTCAGCCTACAATTTTCGGTATTAATAATTATTAATAACAAATTTACGTTTCAATACTTCTTTGGGAGCTTTGACTTATTATAATCAAAAGTTGCAGAAAGGACTCATGAAGAACTCTCCAAGTAATTCATCAGTAACGAAGAAATATTTTTGACAGCTAAATTGTTAAATGAATTATAAAACGTGTAAAGTCCACCAAAGTGTGTGACGTTGACGTTATGTTCCCTTATGAGAAAGTATTTAAAAAAATAAAGAAACCACAAAAATATATTTTACTAGACGGCAGCACAAATCGTAGGATCTAAATGTCAATTCATGACGTTAAACTAAAGAGAATAGAATGAGAAAGTATTTAAAAAAAAAGAAAGCACTAAAAAAGCACCTCCACTAGGTGGCGACTCTAATAAAAGTTGATTTTTGCAGGAAAAATATGGACCAAAGATAGTCATTTCCGTTCCTTTTATCTTACATATTAAAAAACTGAAATTTGCAAAGTCCGAAACTTAGATATCCATACAAATACGAAAAAGTACAAATAGAATATGAGTTGTTTATTGAGTTTTGAAAAATAATTTACTTTTATACATGATAGAAAACTGGAAGGGTTGTCATGGAGAAATCAAGAACGTACCGTAGCGACATTTAGTTTGATATCGGGAACTTAATGTTCTTTTTTTAAATACTTCCTCATTGTCAGTGTTGTATGGGTCTGATAACTCAGATTAACATAGAGTTGAAATTCAATTAGTTCGAGTTACCCAAACGCAACTCGATGAATACGAACTAATAAATGAGTATGTTGAATTTTTCATATTATAATGGAAAGTCACTACATAATCAAATTAAGTCACATTTCAATAAGACTTCTCTGTGTGAAATGAAACAGGGATAAATAAAAACCCTTGCTGAGTTACTTGCCGGTTCTTCTCAGTACAAGATCACCCGTCTTAGTTTTGCGAACAGTTGCCAAAATTTTCGACTTTCACAGGTACTGTTACATGAACAGGCTATATTGAATTGGATATTTATATTAATATAATTCGACATGTGGATGCATAATGGCACATATGGATATATGGCACAAAAAAAAACAAGTTGTATTCAGCGCTCCGCTTTTTGAAACCTGAATTCGGATGAATCGAGACAATTGCAGTTCCGAGCAATCAATAAGTTGGATGATAACTAATGTTGAAAGATAAACCAAACATCGTTCCTTTCCACGTAACATAATAAAAAACTTAAACTTACGATTCAAATAAAATAAAATAAATTTGAAAGTTACATATTACAAGAAACACGAAACGATGTCATATTTATTAATTTTCGATACTCAATTTACTTTTATTACGTCAGAAACAAAATTTGAATGAATATCATAGACAAGATCCAAACATCGCTAGTGACATCTAGTTTGATTTCAAGAACTATTTTTTTTAATATTTCCTCATTGCTTTTCCACCGATTTAAATATACTTCGGTGAAATGTTTAAAACAAAACAATCAGTATCGTAAAACATCTCAGTAAAGTGACATATCGACTTTGACATATCGAAAGCCACAGTGCGTTGATAGTTTATAACAGCACTGTGGCTTTTAGGGGTAGTTTTAGATTTCAGGCAACCAAGTGCTGGAATGATCTGAAACCCCCGCTGACCTCAACCTCAAATGTAATGTACTTAATTATATTAAGGGAAAATTGAAGTGTTTAATAAATTTCAACCAGACTACGGCGAAGCGAAAAATAGGGTTTTGATTTTGGCCGGTATGTACATATGTAAGAACGTTCATCTGTTCCCTTACAACTTCAAAATTATTCCTCGTTACTAGACAAATAAGGTTTCATTAGAAGCATCTTAGTTGTCCGCGTACTATAGGCAATATGAAGTTACATTAAATTGGCAACTGCGGCCTCTTGAGAACATAAAGTAAGAAACTAAAAAAATATTATTCAATCATTCCGTTCCGTGTAGTATCAAATGAAAGGGCTTAATTAGCACATTTTAAAATTATATAATATATTTTAAATTAAATATAATTTTATTTTCTTTTATCAATGTATATTGATAGTATATTGATAGATAGATAGATGTATATAGCTAGCTAGATTTTGCTCGCGACTTTGCTTAAATTCACCCAAAAATAAATATAAAAAGAGGTCAAAAACTAAAACCCAACTTACAGCTAAATCACACTGTAAATGAATATCATAGACAATTATCCGAAAATGGCTAGTGACATCTAGTTTAATTTCAAGAACTAATTTTTATTTTTTAAATACTTCCTCATTATCAGCCTCGCAATTTTGATTCCGACTTTATTTTAAGATTTAATTTAACGATATTAAAAAAGTAAAAAATAAACTACATTTTGAGATATTTTACATCCTAGACGCATTAGTAAATTTTTAGGTCATATTTGGACTTGATTCTTTCTTGTTTCAAACTTTTAGAGCGTGATTAAGCTGTAGGATTTAGTTTTTCAACTTTTTTTACTTAACAAACATGATATTTTTAGTATTAAGCAACCCTTTTGACATCATCACTAAATTTCAATTAATTTGTACTGAAATGATGCAATAAAAGAGAATACATAAAATTCCTTTACATTATTTTGGATACTCGTGCAACAAGAACAACAATAGGGCATTATATAACTCCCTGTTTATCAATATGGTACACGTATATAGAGATATAGAATACACTACCTTCATATTAAGGAAATATTGTGGCGCTTCTGGACTGACGTCAGTAATATTCTAAACTATAGCACTTTAGAAGCTCCATTTTTTAAACACCCAGTAATTTTTAGCATGAATTTATAAAACTTTTGATATCCTTCGAGAATTAATTACTTTGGACCTTAAACTAAAATCATAGCAAACACATTGTTATTTAGTTATTAAAGAATCACAATCACAAGTAATAAATTACATAGTTTTAAACTTCGGGATTCTGAAGTAATTTTATCCTTCGGGAAAGCAAAAAATTTAGAAAACTATATCTATTGAGATTTATATTACCATGATTAAATTAATTGTGTTGGTTTCATATTCAGGATTGTTTAATTTTTCGTTGAATTTTTCGCTTGACCCGCGAGAAATATTAGTATTTAGATTCCATTTGTGCCACCTTATGTGCGTATGAGAAATTCCTACAAAATAATAGAAATGAAAGTCGGATGCACAGTAAGTATAAACATATTTATTTCTATATCAAATCAATAGTCATTATGGCTGCCATGACTTTTGATCATTAACTACAATAATAATAATAAGATCTAAATATTCATCATTAAAGAAGAGTTTCATATAACAACTCTGATCTAAACATCCAACATCTATGTACCTAATAAATATTTTTATTTTTAATCTACTATGGTAATACATACATCAAAACTCGAACATTTTATTTGAATAAATAATTACCATAATTATATCAGTAATACATTGTTATAAATATTAATGTTTAAAATACATTCAAAGCTTAAAATAGCACTATAAAATAAGGCTGTACCTACACTACACATCGAGATCAAAATTTGTAGCGAGTGTGTAGCATGTTTAACTTACACTTAATTGGAAGAACATTTCACAAGAAGTGGGGAATAAAAAATATAATACAATTCATCACTCCGCATTGCCCACGACGGAGCGATGAATGGTAGAAACACAAACACATTTTATTAATAATAAAACAACAATAAACAAAAATAAAACTTATGATAAAAATGGAGCACCTATTTCTACCTATCTGATTATAATGTAGAATAAACATCCTACTAACATTTATTGTTATTATTTTATTTATAAGATAATACTTTTGAATAAATATTCATGCGGGTATATGAACTCTTAATAGTTGATCATGTTTACTTACTTACTACTTTTTCTATTATCTACACAGCATTTCTTTGTTCTTAAATTATTACTGAAGATATTTATTTAGTAATCAATTAATTATATTATAAACTACCAATCTACCTACATGCATTTATATTTGAGATTAACATTATAATATCATTATTATAGAGAAATAGTTATTCAAATCGTTTCGTCATTTCGAAATCATGGATTATTATTATCTTACTTTTGATCTAGATATAAATGGATACATAAGCAACAATAAATGTCTAGAATCAATATGACTTCAACTGTCTCTAACAGTATTTTATATGTCACTAAAGCAAGTTAACGAATATTATTGATAAATATATTATCTAAGAATAATATTTTTCACTTTTATTCCTTAAAATATTAATGCTACAATACACGTGTTCATCAAATTTACAATTTCTTTTTCTAATATAAACTAAATCTAATCTACATTTGTAATAGTTTTGTAAAATAAACTAATAAAAATGTCACACATAAATATTGTTTATTGATTAATAATGTTACTGTGTTGGATTTAATTTTCATTAAAAATATTGCACCTAAATCCATTAGCCACGATTCCTGACTTTATGTTATAGTCATCGGGGTATATAATAGATTGTAACAATGAAAGAAGTGAGTATAATGTAGAGAATATAATACTCACTTACATTATTCTTACTTCTTTCAGAATATTACGTGTAGTGATTTTCTCTTCAGAGACCGTAAATATTAGTATGACCGCCTGGTAGGTAAATAGATAGAGGATAAAACAGACTTCATTTGAGAAATTATGTGATTTTATAAATATTAGCGAATCCTTCTGGTATAGGTATACGGAATTTTTTTTGTGCATCTCTTTAGTACAGGTATCTATCTCATTTGAGGACATCTTAAGCATAATACCAGAGTAATACGAAATTTCAAATCGTTGGCCGGTGAGATGTAGATGTCAAACACAGCAAACTCTTTTTAAAACCCGATGAAAAACGAAAAAGGGGTGTTATAAGTTTGATCCCTTTGTGTGTGTGTCTATGGCATCGTAGCTCCCGATCGGATGGTTTTTCTGCCGTCTTGACATAATAACATAATACTTATATATATATTTTTAATTATTTATTTGTGGAAGTCGATTTATATAATAAAAAACGGCTTTTGATCGAATTAACAAATATATCACCTAGTTCACAGATAAGTTACTCTTTCATTATTATCAGAATAAGTCAATCCGACGTTAGGACAAAAAAAATATAACTGTTATAGTTGGGTGTTTGTGTAATAAATATTGATTTTGTTCCAGCTTCAACCTTAATGCTTGGATATACCTACATACAATTATCGAACTATAGCTAAAACATCGACGGTTTGCTGAATTATTAATATTATTCTTATTATATGTATATTGAAATATTTCGTTATTATTAAGACTGATAATATGTACTACTTAATATCTTCCATATTGATTAACACATAGATGTTTATTAATATAATTTCTTTCTACTTATACTATTCAGTAATACTAATTTATATAACACCTTTTCAACAAATACCTTGCTGTATTCGTGAAAAAGTTGCATTATGTCTTTTTCGTGCAAACGCTGTATATTCGTATTAAAATTAATTTCAACTCGTTAATTATTATAAACGGACGTGATAACTATCCAACTGAAAGATGTTTATTTAAGAGTCAAAGATATACAATAATATGGTGAGAATATTAAATTAAATAAATGCACTTTAAGAAATATACTTATTCCATTATAAGTTCTAACCATAGACAATCAAAAGCCTTAATAAGTTAGTTTTTTTTTTTATTATTATAACACCAAAACTATTGAATAAATGAAAACTCTATCTATTTTTAATATATTTTGTATATTTCTTACTGTTAATTATATTTTATTTTAAAAGAATAATCTTATCATTAATACATATTTTCAGTTATCATCCTTCACTTTTGCATTACTTTCTGTTCCTTAGCCGCACCTATATTTGCCCTCGACAATTATGTATCGGGATTTGCTTAGTGTGTAATACAATCCACTATATAATAAAGTATTGGAATAGATATATGTATAGGTACTTCAATAATCTATGGAAAGCATTAGAATATTAATAGAATTCTAATAAAATATAGATTATAACATTAAAAACATCTAGAACGCAAATATTATATTTAGATTAAGTGTTTTATATTTAGTCAAATATTTGCCACAGATCTTTAATTAATTATATAACTATACAGGGTTACAATTGTAAAATACCAGTGACCTCGCAGGGTTAGATAGTCAATATTATTTAACGACAACTAAAATAGAGTTTAACCATAACTCAAGACATTGAACAAAAAAATCTAGTTTTTTATTGAAAAAAAGGTGACATTTTTATGTCTATGTTCTATTCATTAAACGCTACGCTCACGTGCTGAATTAGTATCTACAAATTAGTTCATCTATTAAATAGATGCACATTGTGTTAATAATATACGAGCGTCAAATTGAGTTAAAGTGATTTTTTGGATAAAAACACAATTTGACCATTTATCAAGTAACATAACAATCCCTAACCCTGTATAATGAATTTTAATGTGGCATCTAAAATGCAACATAAGTAATTAGATGTAGAGTTTCTTATAATTAGAGAAATATTTTTCATAAATCTATCATATTCAATTATCATTGAATCCCTAAGAAAAAAACATAGATGGAGAACTTAATATGGTTATCATGGAACATCATGTTTACGTACTGAAGTTATTCACAACCACTCGAAAGCTGAATTTTCACCAATGTAAAATATCTACTCGATCACATATCATCAATGGTGATGTATCTAATCACAAAAAGCTTCTTCAATTGTCAAATCGAAAGTCCGTTTCGAAGTTTGTGAATAAAATGGCTGGAGTACGTTCGAACATAATGTTGATGTTTGATATTCATCGTTAGAACATCGACAAATATTGACCGTCTTTTGAAAAAAAGCGGTCAATCTTTGTATTAAAAAGGTAACACAATAAAAAAGAAAACTTTTTAGCGTTACATTTATGCAAAGTACCTCGTGATAAAATTAATATTATTTTTGCTACTAATTTTACATCGATATTTGCAAATGTATGTTTTTCTAATATTAATCATCCCTAGACATAGTAGACGTCGAAGGAGAGCTGTGCTCAGACGAGCTGCGGCGCGGAGGGGGGTGGTGCGGGGGGTGGGGAGGGCGGTGCATGTCCCCCTGCCAACCGTACAGCGCCACTCTCAGATACAACCATGCCGTTAGCTGCGCCGGCAGCCTCGGTGTCCGCGTACGGTGTCGTCAAAATACGAAGTCGCTGAGATATTGTTTAAGATTAAATAGGTCGGTACAAAAATACCCGATAAGCTTGAAACCATATTGACTGTATACAAAAATACCATTGCAGTATTAGGAAAGAACATTTAGAATTTCCTAATATTAAGATCAGTTGTTGATATAACAAAAAACAGTGCTTATTATTTCAGATATCATCAATGCTGATTCAGATTGGTGAAAAGGGTGGAAATGAATAACAACCACTTCTAAAAACCTATTATATTTTCCTAATGTTATATTAAAAATATCGACTACTGTGTGCATCACTAGTCAGTCAGTTGTCAGTTAACTGTCACTGGTACTTTGACATTGACGTTTGATATGATTCGCGCCACATTAACATTGACGCATGATATGGATTGAAAAAAACCTTTTTGTATACAAATATTACTTAGATAATATAAAATAAATAAATTAATACTGAAGAGGACAAGCATGTCGATGCAGTGTATAGTTCGTTTGGTCTGTAATAAATACAGCTGAAGTAACTTCGCAATAATGGAACAACAACTGACCAAAATTTTTGCAAGCTCATGTTATATATGCTGTAATACCCTTTGTATCTAGTTAACATCCAATAAATTCAATATAAATAATTCAGTGTTAAATAAAAGTCGGTAACAATGTTCTTTAAAGTTCAAAACTATCTTAGTTATCATAACTAAGTATGCAGGATAACAATCAACTTTAAAATATCTCGAATGACTATGACATTAAAACACGGCCACGTATAACATTTTTATATAGCTTTCCGTCAGCGGCTTCGCCCGCGTGGTTCTTCAGGAATTTTTTAAACTTTCGCCTATAAAGGCCTATATTATATTATATTTTGTGCCTTATTCTGTGATATAGATAACATTATTTACTCCTGTCTAAAAAGCTTAAATTATTTAATAATTGATTTGGATATCAATTCATATCATAACACGGATATAATTACATGACTTTAATAAATTTCCACTCTCGTTTTCATCTCATTATTTGTACTTTTTAGGGATAAAATATAGCCTGTGGTCAACGCATATTCTTTCTTTATTATTTCACCCGTAGGTGAAAGAATTTATGAAATCGGTTCAGTAGTTTCAGAGTCAAATAAGCAAACAAATAATCAAATCTTTCATCTTTATAATATTAGTATAGACATACTCACTTCAAAGAATGTGCCTTTAGTGGTAAAAAGTTTGAAGATCGCCACAGCCGGTATGCACAAGACACTGCTGCCTGCTATAGCCCAACCGAGAGCGTTAGCCCACGCGGGGTACACGTAACCCTCATACTGCAGCGGCTCATAGTCCAACAGTCCGTACGCTGTTATAAACAGAAGAAACGCAGGCGCCGCAAAACGCCAACAGAATCGCCAGTACACACCGGGCCTAAACCCGATCATGTCTCGGATATCTTCGCAAAATCTCTCGGTACCTGAAAGATATAAAGTTCTTATCACATTTGATATGTTTATATTTCGAAAAGTTGAACAGAAAAAAAAAGTTTGTACCGATGTCAGGCATCTCGACTTTACAGAAATGTAACTAAGCAAGCTTGAGAAACTATAAAACTTATGTATCAAAATATTTGGATTACGCTACTTTCACGTTTTTTTTTTATTTCATGAGAAACTCAAGTGATTGCCTATTCGACTTTACCAAAATGCACACATTTAAAGTATGTTATTTAGTAGGTATACATACTTTTTAATTCCGCTACCCCTTTTTATCTCAAAGAAAGTTGCTTTATCAAAGAATCTCAACCTCGCTTCATTAGAAAATGTGCGGTTAGAAACGCTAATACATTGCACTAACAACAAATATCCTTTGCCATCCACGGTGTACGCTTGGGGAATGCACTACCAGTGTCGATTTAAAAAGCCAATTCAAATATATTTAATGAAGCAATTCTGAATTAGTTCAACCAGTCAAGATAAAAGTTACCTGTACCTGTTTCTTTTAAAGTTATCTTACCATAAATCCAAGAAACAGCGATTGCTTCAAAGAAAACGGCAACCAGTATGGAATATCCAGCGGCGTAACGGTCGAGCAGTTGGAAGAAATAAAACCCGCCTTTAGTGCATGATGCTAGGCCGACGAAGAAGTAAAGTGTGAATAGACAAGCCACAAAAATCTCTCGGTGACGTCCAATTGGTGGGAATTCATCGCTCAATGCCGTTATAATAGCTTCAGATCCGCCAAACTGGAAATCAAAACATGATATATTAATGCTGGCACAATATTTAATGTTGTTTAGAAAGCTTGGGTGGATTGCCTGAACATTGATGAAAATACGCTCTGTTGTAGAGAAAAGTAACAAGTGCTTGAAAAATTCGTCAGTCCTGTCAGGTCCTGTAACTCAGTAGTTAGAGCAGTCGCTCGGATTGCGAAAGGTCATGGATTCGAATCCCATCTCGGAGTGCCAGGAACAAGGTGTATTTTCTTTTGCAAAATTTGAAACTCATTATAATTTAAAAATGATTTCGAAACCCTGTTCCTTCAATAGTACTATGTCATTAAATAGTAAATAATAATCAATAGTACGTATCAGTTTCTTGAAATACACGAACTTACTTCTATATAAATTAAAAACCCCAAAAATCGAACATAAATTCCAAACAGATCGAGAGGATGAAAAATAATAGAGCACCATTTATTTTACTAAAGCTAAACTCACAGAGCTATCCAGTCCAAGCGTCAGCAGCATCATGAAAAATATGAGAGCCCAGAAGGTAGAGCCTGGCATGGTAGCTATTGCCGCGGGATATACCACAAACACCAATCCTGGTCCTTCAGTTGCCACATCCTGCACGTCCCTGCCCGATGCAAGCGCCATATAACCTAACACACTGAAGATAACGAAACCCGCTACGAATGATGTGCCAGAATTGATAACACTTGTTAGAATGGCATCTCTGTAAAGAAAATAAAAACATCTACTAACAAAAAAAACTAACAGTAGCAAATCAAATCAAATCAAAATTATTTATTCAGTCTAGGCCGTTACAAGCACTTATGAAAGTCGAGAGCTACGCCATCGACTCGTAAATCTACGGCGGGAGACCTTGTACCGAGTGGAACCGGCAAGAAACTCGGCAAGGGCTGCTTTTTTCTCCCTGTTTTATTTCATACAGAGCGTCAAGATTGAAAAGTAACTTCATTAAAATTTGAAGTCACTTTCCATGACAATGTTAGAAAATATAAGAGTATTCTTAAACTCACTTATCATTATCATCATCACCAGCCTATTAAAATCCCCACTACTGGGGATCAGGTATTCTCTATGGATAGAATCGAATAGAAAGAATGGGTCTTGGGCCCGGAATGGTGGGTGTTAGCAACTGCAGATGTAGTTGGGACTAACGGCTTAACGTACCTTTTAAAGCACGGAGGAGCTCGAGATACTAAATTGTTGAACACACAACCTATGACCAGACCTTGCAAAAGATGCTTAACAACCGTATCGCACATCAAGCGCGCTAACAACTGGGCCATCGAACTCCACTCAGTATTAATTTATTCAGTATTGAAAAATAACTTCATTAGATTTGAAAGTTGTATTAAAAAGATAAGATTATAAAATTCTAACAAAAAAAAATAAACAGTTCTAGACATACTTGTAAACGTTGTTATGATACTTGTTGTACGACGCATAAGCCAAAAGTACACCGAAGCCAGGTCCCAAAGAAAAGAAGACCTGAGTGGCCGCATCCACCCACACCTGTATGAATATATTTATTTTGTTAAAAATTCGAGAAAACGATACTTTTTACTTTGTTTTTACTCGGTTTAATTGCACTGTTTTCATGTATGTAATTCTTTTAATTTTTCATTACAACATTGGTTTTATAGTGGCGAAAGAACTAAATGTCGTTTTCTCTAGATGATATAATGCCAAGCTTGATTTTAATTTTATTATTTAATTTCAATCGTTTAGAATATCACTTAAAAAACACCTGTCTCAGAAACCAGGTAGGACTCCAATCAGCTTGTCAGTGATATTACGCTTAGCGAGCGAGTGATCATACTAAGCTTGGTGACACTGTCACATTTCTTAAATGGTGCTAATTTCAACCGATTAGTGAAAGTGCACTAATTCGAGTCCAGCCTAAGGAAATATCTGAAACTATTATGGTCTTTTCAAATGCTTTTCTAAACTTTACAACAAAGAAGGTTTTAAATGTTCAGATATAACCTTAGAGAACGAATACATAAGCTAACGACAGAGTTCTGTAATTATTGTGTGTAGCCCTGGTAGAGCTACTTTTAGAGCTGAAGGTAAAACAGTAGAAACGAATGGTTAGGGCATCTAATTAGATAACGGAAAGTATCATAATTTTTTCCCGCGCTAGGCGATTGTTTTATAACAATGTAAAATCAAAAAATATATCAATAATATAAAAACTGAAACTTACCTGAGGTTGCGTGATGGCTTCAAAATTCGGACTCAAGTAATATTGGATGCCCATTGCAGAGCCAGGAAGTGTGATGCCACGAACCAAAAGAATCAAAAGTACCGCGTATGGGAATAAAGCTGTGAACCAAACCACCTGAAAAATATGTGTACCATGATTATAAAACACTTAATTATTGATAATTTACATTATCGTAATCGATTCGTGGTCTTTTAGAACCAATGACTATTATCATTAGTAAAAGAAACATTTTAAACGGATTTGTGTATTATTTTTATATGAACTTTTTAGTTCACTCTTTACTAATATTATAAAGAGGCTACTTGAATAATTTTAAAAATTCTTGCACCCAGAGAAAGCTACATCATACACGGAAACGAAAACAACTAGTAAACAAACTATTAAATCTCTTTATAAAAAAAGTATAGATAAACATTGTCTTTCAGTATTTACCTTCCCCGAAGTGCTGATACCCTTCCACAGGGAAAAATAGCAGATGAAGTACACGGCCAGCAGGCATAAAGCCATATCCCACTTGATGGAGCCCAAGTCGTGGAGACCTTCGCTGCCGTGCAGTTCGAGTATAGCGCGGCTAGAAACCATTAAAAAATTATGACTACACACAGTATACAAAGTACAATTATGAAAATGTATATCCGATTACTTTTTGAAGATAAATTTCTCAAATAGTTTAATAACACACATGTTTAGATAGCAACTACATTTTGTTTAGCAAGCTTTTTACTTATATATTTATTCTCTAAAATTAAATAAAAATAATTTTAACGGATAAAAGCGCTTATATGTATGGTCATTTTAAGACGTTTCAGATCCTTTACAGGTTCCGCGTTCACTTAGACTAAGATACTGACCTGGATGATATTAATTGTCTTTACAAAATGAAAATGTCTTTTCAATATGAAAATGAAGGTGATTGGCTTTACAAAAGACAATCATTAAAATTAGTTTTATATAATGAATAATACGCGTGAAATACGTATATATAACATAAGAATACCGTTTATTCTCTACAAATGAAACAGAAAAAAATTACTGTGTTAAGAATAATAGTTTTCACCGCAAGTAAATTATTTATGTCTATAAATTATTTTATCAATAATTGACTAACGTATTCCGCTGGTATCGAATAGTGTGCGCACATTTACTGCAAGTTTTATAATTATTATTTTGTCAGCGTAAATTTTATTATAAAACTTATCCTTTATATTGAGATTCCTTAAATTACTCGTATTTTTTATATAGATCTAGCAAATCAACATCATCATTTCAGCCGAGAGACGCCCACTGCTGGGCATAGGCCTCCCCCAAAGATCTCCAAAGCGATCGGTCATGCGCCTCCCGCATCCATTGACTTCATGCGACCTTCACCAGATCGTCGGTCCACCTTGTGGGGGGCAAATCTAGCAAATACTTACTTGAAATATTCAGAAGCAGCGGAGGTGAATGGAGTAGTTTGGGGAGGACCAAAGGATGAAGATACATTTTGCCGTAATCTTGTTTTGTTGCCAGAGTCTAACACCGCTTCAAACTACAAAAATATCGTAAAAATGTTAACTTCGTTTTTTATATTTATTAACAAAAAAATACAGAAGATGATTTTAAAGATATTAATACATTAACTAAACTCAATACTTTATTTTAGTTCATATAATACATATATCTGTAAAAAGCAATACAATATTATCGTGTATCATACTGGAGTACCTATATCGGTGGTTCCTAAACAAGGCTCCTCCTAAATCAGCTCTGGGAGTAATATTGAGCCTATTAATTAAGACTTTTAATAATGAAATAAAAAACCATCTCAATATAGAACATTGTTCAGATCGTGTTTTAAGTGAAAATAATATTCAAATTCATAGGCGCATTTAGAAATAACTGCCCCCTTATTCTTCTTATTTTATTAATGGCTTATCTGTGCGTTTCGCACGATTATGCCAACCTCCTTATTCTGTAACTCTGAATACAATCGAAATAAATTGTTCACAGAGCTCTTGTGGGCAAGTAGTCATAAGTGATTTTGACACATCGGAATAGTCCACTTATTACGGTGATTTCAATTTTAAGCTGTCAGATCAGAGTGCTTAGTGTAAGTTTTTTTGACGTAATACTAATTCTTAACGCGCTCACTAGTGAACGCGTTAGCGTAATACTTACACTTACCACTCAGTTAGCGAATAGGTATCTTTGTCTCTAGAAATAGACCACGCCATTGGTGGGAAAATCAATTTTCCAATAGGATATAGAGATAAAAATAGGTTAGAATCTATTCCTCTAGATCTGACTGATTCCTACCGGTCGACAAGCAGGGGTGTTCCACTCGTTGTCGCAGTTAGTCCACGGGAGCAGGGTGGTGAATGAGGCGAAGAAGAATCGAAGCGCCCACGCAATGATCACGTTGTAATAGAAGTCCACGTAGAATGCTATCAGTACTACGGCGTAACCGATACCTTTAAGATAAACGTAAACTATATTTACTATTGCTTAAAGTCCTAAGATCTAAACATAAAATATAAAAACTTAAAAAAATAGAACCAATTTCAAACTTTAAAAATTGATAAATACGACTTGCGAGTTATTATTAATTTAGTGATAGCCGCCCGACTTCAATAGCAGTTTCTCGAATAGATCGTAATTTATCACTTTTCATGCTTTTTAGTGATATTGATATTTTTTTTATATAATAGGGATACCAAAAACATTAAATATATAAAAATATTCAACGACTTAAAAAAGGCGATTTTGTTTCTTTGCTCGACATATTATTTCCAATAATTCTATACTCAAAGTCATATTATAAAGAGGAAAGATTTGATCGCTTGTTTGTTTGAATTGGATAGACTCCGAAACTATTAGACAGACATTGAACATCGGCTATAATTTACGCAGGCGAAGTCGCGGGGAAATAGCTAATTTAGTAGAAATTGGTTTGCAATTCAAGAAGAAATCGATGAACATATCTACTTTCATAAAAAAATATACATATTTCTTGAAATCCTTTTTCCAGATTTTGAATGAATTCGAAATACGCTATGTTTTGTTTTGTAACTTAAATAATAATATATAATCTAAACATTTAGATGATATCTGGTGAAAAGCGGATTTTCTTTTGTTATAAAAGGAAAACTACTGACTGATTAGATTTCGATAAACTACTAGGACCACTTAGGTCCATTAAGCTCTCGAAAATATAATTTTGACAATCAGTCAACAATTGGCGGAATTATCGGTGAACATACATAAAAAAAACATAGTTACATCGCCGTTGAACATATAATCTCCTCCTTTTGGATTTGAAGTTGGTTAAAAAGAACATATCCCGCTGCCTGTATGCTGGGTTCTTTTAAATTAGGCAACAGATTAAAATGAGATTTTATAAATATACAGAGTAATTCAAGAGTTTGTATGTATAATTCAGGGGGCCAATTCTACGATACAATTCCAGTTCTATTTTAGCTGGAATTGTATCGTATGTCACTTAGTAGAATAGAAAAACCATTAAAAACTGTAGTTTCGTTCGGTTCCGATCCGTTTTCGATTCGATTTAAACAAAATTTATTTAGTAGAATTGGCCCCCTGGACCACAAGGGCGGAGCCGCTGGTGGAAAACGAGTTATTAACACGTATGAATCGAAAATTATTACATAGTGTTACACAATAGATATTTTATTTTGAATTTATGGTAGAAATATAAGCTGATTCAGCGCGCGTTTGATCGGTAAATCTAGTCTTAATAATACGTAAAAACACCTACACTACAAATGTCATAATTATTGAAAAATATTCATATCCTTCTGGTAGCACAGTAATACGGTATTCGTATTGAAAACCAAAAGTTCCCTAATTTTTATCATATATTTTAAACCGATAAAATCAACCCAACAAAGAATCCCTTACTAGGATCGCGGCACATGTCGCCCAACGAAATAAATAAACGGCAGATTTCAGCGCCTTTCCACTCCATTACCAATTTTATTCCTCCTCAAAAATCACATCAGAGTGCCCTCTACTCAACGCGCGACGTGACGATAGCGCGAAATGAAATCACCGACATAAGCCGACCGCGCAAAGCCGGGGCGTTCCAACCCCAAGCACTTAAGGCGGCTCGGAATGGCACCAATTATGGTTGTTAAGTGCGACGCCTAGGGTGGAATGCTGTTTAAGTTCTTTGACTTGCGTCTAATCAATGCAAGTGCAATGTTTTACACGATTGACCGACGAAAGAGTGGATTGTTCAAAAATAAAAACGCTGAGTATGCATTTTTTGTGAAAACAATATATAATCTAGTTTTATGTGTTTTGTTTGTAACTATACAAGGTGTAGCGTTAACATCAGTCAATATTGGAAAGTCTGAATCTAAGACATACGAAGGTAGTTCGTTGTAAATATAATTTATTTTATAGGTATTTAATATTTGAGTGATACCTATACAAAATATTAATATATAAAATACCTATAAGTATCACAAATAATAATGAAATAAAATCATTTTTCAAAAATAGAACCGACTTAAAATTAAAAAGTGATAAATAATAATTATTTTTAAAAAATGGAAGTCGGTTCTTTTTATTTTATTTTATATTGTTATTTGAAATAAAATAAAAAGGTGAAAATAAACAATAATTTATTCAAAGCTTATCACAATCACGTTTGAATTGTTCATAACGTTTCCCCCCCTCGTTCTGATGTTATTTCTTTATTTTTTTTTGATGTAATATAAAATGAAAGCTTAAATACAATATTATACAATTTAAACACCATTTAGAAGGCTATATTTACGTTCGCGGATGTGCTAAGCTAAATTTAAGAAGATTCAAAATGTTTTGAAAAAGTTTGCTTTCATATTATGTCTTGCTTTTGTGAGACAAAGCCATGAGAATGGCAAAGCGCAAAACGAGAAAAATAAGTAAATCCAATAAAGCTTATATCCCGGGCACTCAGACAGCCATAACTCGCAACGCTAAGTGCAGGCCATAAGTCAAGATCCAGTTTCGATTCGATGACGTTACTGTTCTGAACTAGTTACGTGATCCCATTAGTTTAAAACTCAAAGCTCTCTTACACTTTAATAAATATATAATGTTCAACTTTCATTATCAGTAAAAAGAGGTAAGATTTGTTTTTATGGTTTTTTTTTTTGGTTGCAAAGGAATACTCTAAAACTCATCTGCAAATCGAACTAAAAATAAAAGAAACATATTGTATTGTGGTTAAGCTAAACAAGAAACGTTTAACGTTTCTAATCTAAGAGGTCCCCAGAATGCAATGAGCATTTCGTTTAGCTTAACCATAATGCAATTTGTTTCTTTTATTTTTAGTTCGATTAGACAGACGAGTTTTTTAATTTTATAATTATTAATTTTTTATGTCATTATTTTTAGTGACAAGTAAATGTATACAAAGTATTATTTTTAGAATGTACTTACCTTTAATTTGTAACCCATATTTTTATAATTAAAGAATTTTAATTTTTAATTTTTAATGACTTCATACATACTTCATACACTGGCTATATTTTTTTAAATATCCAATATGGCAGATATACTCGTATATATAGCCAGTGTTACTATATCCGTTTGGTCTTTCAAAAGTTACTTACATTAACTATTAACAAAATACACTGCTTTTTTGGACAGACGTGTAAAAATGAATACAGGATTTTAAAAAATCATACCAATATAAAGTATGAAAATTATATATTAAAAAAAAATGAAATATATTGCGTATCAGCTATTCTATTCTGTTACGATATTCTGTTAAAAAGTTATGAACTCATTGTCACGTTATAAGGCTTTAATGAAATATTTTTTTATTACCATTGAAGTAGGTTTTATTTTAGTGAACTATGGAAAGTATTATTTTTTATGACAGCGGTCAGTTCGTTGACGAGTTTGAGGCCATTTTTTATAAAAGAATAACTCAGACACCTAGTATCTTCTTCTTAGTCTGTGCTCAGACAATATTGCTGTAGATATGTCTTTGTCGATATATTACAATTTATTTCCGATATCTATAGTTTTACAGTGTAGTGTACAGTCAACTAAACAATTTCTAACATATGCAGATACGGAAAAATTATTATGTGAAATAATGATATATGAATGTAAAAATAATCTTAATAAATATGATTTCTTTCTTCTTTTGTATTAAATATGATTTCTTTCTTCTTTTTCATTAAAATTCATAATTTGTTACATATAGATAATGTTAATGGTCCATTAAATATTATTTTGATACTTAAAATATGCAAAATTTCTTAATTAGCAAATAACTTCAGTCCGTTTTTCTGATTGCTACGATAGGCTACTTACGTCGTAGCAACAATGCTACGTGCACTTAACACAACTTAAAAATGTTACGGAATAAAATGTAATATTGTTTTTCTTTTACAATATATACAGACTACTCCGGTTTTTTATAAAATTATTATTTTTAAGTTTGTATTTAATTTTTTTCTTATTTAAATTTTCTTTGATTACTCTTTGCTCATGTACCTATATATATATATATCTTAATCAGATATAGCACTGACTAGTTACATGTTCAGTTAAAACGTTTTAAACACTCATAGTGAATTCGATTTATTTTAGTACTAAGGTAATGTCGCCTAATAGGCCCATAATTTGACCGCTAAATACTAAAAACCTAATTTTTTAAATCACACTTCTCCTAATTGACAAATCAGTACAGGACTATAATTGAGTTGTATTCCAGTTAGCTAATTAACATTCCAGCGGTCAAAGGCTGGGGGCTCTATTAAGCGGCAGTTAGTATTGATTCTGTATTAGCAATTTAAGGTGTCATATATAATAGGTTATAATTAAAACTTACCTTTAAAAAGAGGCACAAGTCGGCCCCAGCAGGTGATGGCGCCTTTCCGGTGGTACTGACCCAGCGCCAGCTCCATGTAGAACAGCGGGATACCGCCCACCACCAGCATGATGCAGTACGGCACCAAAAATGCACCTGGCACACGATTATATGAAAATAAAGTTTGTTCCTAGCGCTATCGATGTGCGATATGGTTGTTAAGCAATTTTCGCAATTGTCGGTCGTAGGATGGGTGACCAAAATTTTATAATTGTTTACTCCTCCATGCTGCGGAAGGCACGTTATGACGTTGGACTCAGCTGCATCTGTAGTCGTTAATACGCACCAATCACAAAACACGGCCCGCGTGGGGTGTCATGTAACATAATGAATTTTAATTAAAATATTGTATGATTTAATAAGTTAGGTGTCTGTCCTCCTCTGTCTACGGAAGACAAAACCTAAAATAATTATTAATAGTAATTCAGTCAGTCGGTACGTAGTTAAAATATCTAATAACTATTTTAAATAATATTTGTTTTTTCGGCGTATACATGTATACATACTTTTAATTTATTGTTAAGTAGTGATATTTTTTTTCTTTGGTGGTAAGAAAGATATTTTAAATCTTGGGATTTATGCGATATTACTATATATACTCATAAACAATCAATCCTTTTAAATCGGCTTACGTATTGACGCCTCTTAAATATTCCACCATTTCTTTTCCTACTACTAGGACGTTATTTGCCTAAAAAAGAATTTTATCCTGCATTATGCAGTATGTGTGAAAACGTTCCTGATATACAACGACATTTATATATGTTTTATTCAAATAACCTTATTAGAAACACTTTTGAACTATGCAACATTGTTTATCCACCACCCTATTTTGACGTCGATAAACTGATAAGAAAAATAGGCACAAGAAATATATAAGCTATTAAACAGTGGCAACAATATGAGTAGTAATATTTGCTTCATACGGCTGGAGTGTAACCATCCTGTAATCTTTGTAAAATTGAAACCAACTTAAGATATTTAAGAACAACTATTTCTTTGAATTTGTAAATTATTTAGAGTAATCGAGTGGCGTATCCTGTGATGAAAGAGGTCATACACCGACTTAAAAACCAAATAAAACCTTTGTTAACGTGACCAAAACACTGTAAACGACACTGGTTTCGATTTGGAAAAAGATGGTCATTTGCACAAACGTTCGTTACGATTTAATGACGCCTTTAAGCTCCAATGAATGTCAAATTTGTATCGGTAATGTCGCTTTAAACTATTGATAATTTTAATGGACTTTTGTGCAACGAGCTGAAAGAATTTATTCGCTATGCGGTTATTTGCCCACCCAATATGCAAGTTACATTATTTAATAGAAAAATCGAAGAAAATAATAATTTAAAACCTTTAATTTTATTTTTCCAATAGTTGCTGTGTCTTATTTTGAAAAATATTGTGTGGCGTTCACATTTGCATTTCCCAAAATATGAATTAACTTAATTCAGTATCAGGCCACAAGACCCAAATTACTCACATCCACAATTCCTCTTAACCTACATGCTACCTCCAAGGTATTACTATTATGGTTTATTGATATCACTTACTACTTTGCCCGCGTAAATTATAGCCTATTTCATCCGCGTATGATATGAAGAATAAGTGATGAAAGAATTTATCTCTACACTTTATCTCTAAATGATATTAAACTAGAATAGTTTATGTTGTATAGATAAGTATGATATATAAATATTTTGGACTTAGGTATACAATAGTATACAATATGGAGTAATACAACTTCGTGCTCATTTGTTTTCAAATCGGCAATAAAGTGTACTTCTAATAATTGCGTAACAAAAGAATATTAATTTCTATCTTACGTATTTATTTTTCTATCAATTTTTAGACAGTAATTAATTAAAAAATCTTATATTACACAAATCTAATAAATACCTTTTCTTTTCTTTTAAAATATCTCATTGTCTCGTGAAATTGAACAGAGTAATCGGCTTATGGTAAAAAAAGTCTCAGCCGATCGTCTCCGAGGAGAGTTGTAGCAATTTACGATTGCCTCTCGCGATCAGTGCAATAATTCCATATCGCTCGGAGGGCGCCCCGGCAAATTGTTACCTAATTGGCCTTTTAGCAACGGCCATTTACTTACGACTTGCTCTTAAGGAACTCCACTTGAATTCACTGTTTACGACGTCTAAAAGTTTGGAAGCTCAAAGTGGGCCGGTTTTTTGATCCATGGTTAACTTAACCATTTGTTAAAACCTTCGACAAGGGCTTAAATATCAGAAAAATATGTTTTTTTTTATCAATACTCAGCCTAATCAGTTTTCAGAATTCAAGCTATTGGTCAAAAAATTAACCATAACCTTAATCAGCTGGAAGCTAGGTTAAGCAATTGACCAATGGTTAAAAGAACAGATGTACAACTGCTTTGTACCTATTAGGTCCCTTGCCATTTATTTTTCGTTGTTTTTATAACCTTACCGAACCTGATTCCCAGTGAATTTTGACATTGGTTATTTTTGAAATTTTGTTTTGTGATGCAATTTCATGGGAAAATATCCATTATCATTATTTTTATCTTAACCATCCTTAGTGTATTCGTACTATATAAAATCATACGTTTTCTTTTTTCAAAGCGCATATATCCATTTAATGTCGAGAATGGTATATAGTTCGCTCCCTTCATTCAAACCGTTAATATTCTAACCCACACAAAAATTACACATGTAAATTTATAGCGAAAGAACGACTCATTGTGCTGGCAACAAATTAACCAGTTGTTAACAGTGGTTAACTTTGTTCAACTTGACATCAAAAAATGAAATAGCGGGTTAACAAATGGTTAACGTTTTAACTATGGTCAAGTTAACAAATGGTGAAATGGCATTTAACTATGAACCAAAAAACCGGCCCGAGAGAGATTTTGATAGATTGTTTAGTTTCTTTTAATTTTCTTAATATTTCATTGTTTCGTATCGTAAATTAAAAATTGTTTAAAAAATCTAACCAGTTTTAGGTATTTTAATTTTCATCACGTAATATTATTTGTCGTTTCATCACTTTAGCGTGGCGTCACGTGCAAAAACATATGCAACATGAACATTCTTTATCCTATCATCGTAGTTTAATTTAAATAAAGCCTTTGTTATCTATGGAGTAGAAATAGCACAGAAGTTGACAGCTCTGCCCTCGATATCAGGTTTGAGGCTGTTTTTTAACAAAATATAGCTACTGTAATTTAACACACGTTTGACGTGATAGATCAAATTTCAAAAAAAGACATTTTAAATAATGTTAACCTTGTTATGTATGCGTTATATCAAATTGAACTATTTCAGTGAATCTCCTTATAAAGTAACCAAGATAAGTTAATTCCGTGTATCTCATAAACGAGAAACGTCCTATTTGTTAAATGAACTGCTTCCGTTGATGAGAATCATTCCCTTCTCACTACACAAGATTTCTGATGACACATTTCGTAATTGATAGAAGTACACTTCCGACCAGAGTAAGTCCGTAAAATTACAGTTTTTAAATGGAATATGTTGTCTTAAACCTGCCACTCGAAACATTCCAACAGGTATATGGTGGACATATAAATAATATTAAAATTAAAACTGTGCTTAAAACTCTAAGATCAAATAATTATACCTATTAAGAATAAGAAATATACACCCTAAAATGTCTGCTGACATATATAACAAATACTATTAATTTTCCTTTCTTATATATAAAAATATAATAGACAATATTACTCATTGTAACAATCATAAAGGTATATACATCATTGATCATACAAATAACAATAAGTACATATAACTAAGTTTGACTATTTTAAGATGCTCTTACTGAAACTGGGAAAAAAGATTTTGCAATTTACAGTATTTGGGAAATAATTTAATAACAGTAAGATCAAGATTCTTGTCTTTATAAGTGTGAAATTTTTTTTATACGTTTTATCATGGTCGGAATTAATAGGTCTACTCTTCATAAATATATAACATGAGTTCAAATTTATTAAAAAATAAATTAAAACAAAAGTATCGCATAAAATTTTTATTAATGAAACATTGGGAATTTTGTTATATTATTGTAAACAAACGGTATTAAATGTAGACACAGCTTTAGTTCGGCAGTCCGTCATCCTGATTCTCAACGTCTTAAGTTGGGAGGGTAGAGATGGTCGGGATTTACTTTATAGCCAGATGCAACAAGTAAGGGTGGTATCGGCTGTGGAGGGATGGCGCTTGAGCGCCTGAACTGGGATGAAGTTGGTAGTAAATGTGTGCCATGCCACTGAGATTTACGGTTCGGTGCACTCTGAAAGCGAACATAAAAGGGTTTGCTCTAACTATTATTTAATACAGTAGCTGACCCGAGAAATTTGTCCTGTCAAAATTTGAAAGCACTTTTAGTTTTTTCCAGAGGGTTCGATTTTTCAGTACCGGTATTAGGAACTTTTTTTGAGACGATTAAAGTCAACAATGTCAACAACTGCCTTTTTTCAGAGATACACTCTCTAACTAACTGCACTGATTGACTTTCTTCGTCGGTTAACTCACTATTCCGTTGTAGTTTTGAACTCTATTCGAGATAATATCTAATTTGTATTATTCTAATTAGTTGATTTGTAAATTTTTATGAGTAGTTTTTATTTTCTAATTCACTACAGGTGCCATGGTCACTAGTCTCGATCTATCAAAGATCTCAACATTTTGTTGTCCTTTTAAACGTAAAACAATATACTCATTCTTATTCTTTAAAATACATTTATTTTAAAATGAGGTTAGAAATACTTTTCAATTTAAAATTATTATTTCTCACCTTCAGAATAAAAAACATCTAAGTGTATTTTTTTTATTATTGATTGTTTCCTAATAAAAAAAACAGCCATGTTGAAATTACTTACAAGTTTATTTTTCTTTTCTAGTTTCCCTCAAATGTATACCGTAGTTTTTCATATTCAGAGTTTAGTTGCAAAATTAAAAAAAATAACTGATTTGATGATTATTCTTTTCATCTGAATAGAAAGAGAAAATAATTTTATCAAATTAAATTTATCCAATCTCTAAGTAACCGGGACTGGTGATTTTTTTTTATCATTTTTCTTAAAAGGTACTTATCAATATATATCAAATATAATATTGAAGATTTTTTATCTTAGAATTGGATGGAATGTAAAAGATTAATACAGATTTAGCGATTCAGATTATTAATAGAGTCCGAGGTAGAGAATTTACATCTAATACTACACAACGTGGACCCTCAGAACTTGCCCTAATCGAATCGCGAGCCGATAGGATCCGTTCTCCAGGGCCCCAGGGATGATTGGGTATTATGAGATCTCTCTGTAGGAGCTTTAAATCATCCGAGGACGGTACAGATATTTATCAGTATTATTGCTTTATGGACGAAAAGTGTTTATTGTTTCAAATAGGTTGTAGTAAATATAATATGAGACTAGCTTTCGCTAGCGGCTTCACCCGCGTGGTATCTAAAGAAATGTTTAATAGGATAAAAAGTATCCTATTATCTACGTCATACCCTCTCTGTATGCCAAATGTCATCAAAATCGGTTCAGTAGTTTCGGCGTGACTGACGGACAAACATCCAAACATAGAAACTTTCACATTTATAATTTTAATAGGAATTATACTATGGCTCTCGCCTTTGTAAAAGTATTATTTATTACCTTTATTATTCGACATGGACGACCCCTGCTTTATATAATCCAGATTTTAACCATCTCATTATTAGATAAGGACTAACTTTTGTACCAGTTTTAAACCATTATTCGAGCAAAATAAATTAACACGTCTCAATTTGTCGGCGTTAACTTTTCGCTCATTGTAGATTTGCTTTAGGCGGCCAATATGGTTTGAACCAAATATTGAATGATTAGATATTTTAATAACAAATCAATTCTTACAAAAAATATGTTTAACACTAGCTATTTTTCCGCGACTTCGCCCACTTCAATTGCAGTCCTTGTTACCGTTTAAGATTTAGCTACCCGTAGATGAAAGAATTTTAAAAATAAAACCATTCCAATGGTGTCGGAGTCTATTTAATGCAAACAAAGAATCGGAGCTTTCCTCTTTATAATATTAAGAAAGAAAATATATGTTAATGCGCTAGAAACGTGTTGTTAGCTAGGAAATATAAGTTAATAACGTATTATTTCAGGTCCTTTTGTACCTCCTCTTACATTGCTTTACAAATACCAATCGAAAATCACCGAAAAAAAAAAAACAAATGCAGTTAAAAAAGAATCAAAAGAAAACATTAAACTTATTTATGCATATATTTTTTATATAGTTAACATAATATGTACTAGTCGTAATATCGATTCGAAAATCCTACTTAGAATCAGCTTAGTCCTTTTTTTATATATTGATTCAATTATTGAGATTTATATTTCTGTTTTAGCAAGCAATCGATCATATGTTTAATTTTCACAAAATGATTTTTATTTGGCAAATATTAGTATATGTATTAGCCTTAGAATAAAATTGGTAATTTCGTACAACTTTACACGAGTCAGTCCAGTCCAAATGTACCGACGACGCTGCGGTGACAGTGTCACTATGACGACGTGTCGTGAACTCTTGACGGATCGGGGTCGAGATGAAGTGGCCCCATCAATTAGCGGACATCATAATCAACCACCCGAAGTACACGGGCCGCACTAATTGAAGACGGATTAGTGCTACGACGTTATGGCGGCGTATTTTATAGAATCATACGTCACCTTGCCTTAATAGGTATAATGGCTAGATAAAATAGTTCCGTTAACCAGTTAATACAAAATATTCGTTTTTTTTCTTTTGCTTTGATTCAACAAGAAATGGCTTAGGAGTGGGGGCTCGTTACATGACAAAAACTATATAGAAAATGGGCTAAGGTATATTGAACTCAATGTATCGCGAAAATTTATTGAATACGCAAAAAAAAAATACGTGTATGATATTCTTTATTAGTCTACCCAACGGATAGGCAAACAAAAATTAGTCATCATCGCTTTTGCAGCGTCTGTAACACTACGGCATTTAGCAATTCAAAGAGGGGCTTGTTTTAGATATTCAGACAAGTAAGCCGTAAAGATACTGTCGATAAAACTTGTTCCGATATTTTCAACAATGAGGAAGTATTTTAAAAAAACGTTAGTTCCCGAAATATAACTAGATGTCGCACGGTGCTTTGATGATTTCTCCATGACAACCTTTCCGGTTTTCATTCATGTTTAAAAGTAAATTAGTTTTCAAAAGTCAATAAACATTTTATTCTATTTGTACATTTTCGTATTTGAATTGATATCTAAGTTTCGAACTTTTCAAATTTCTGTTTTTTAATATGTTAGTTAAAAGGAACGGAAATGACTGTCTTCGGACCATTCGTTTCCTGCAAACATTAAATTTTGCTAGAGTCGAGGTGCTTTCTTTTTTTTTAAATACTTCCTCATAAATACCACATACGAACCTGTACAATAACTTCAATAGTGAACTTCAACAATAATTTTCATTATGATTTACTCGCAAAGTCCCATGAAAATTTGTTTGGTGTGTTATGAGTGTAGGATTTATTTTTTATAGACTCCAAAATAAATGTAAACCGGCCAAGTGAGAATCAGATTCGCGCACAAAGGGTTCCGTACCAATATCCATTAAAAAAAGTCACATTTGTTATTTTCTATGGAGTTGTTCCAAATTATGTACAATCACTAGTAAGCTTATAAAGCTAACTGAAGCGTGATAGTTTTCCTTTTAGCTTCGTTATATATTGGTACTACTGCCGTAAGTTAGATTATTTAGCAACAACCGTTTAGTTACTAGAAGTACTATAAACCCTTATAAGTTATAAGCGGTTTACTAAATCGAAAAATGGCCTTCCCAGACCCCCAATGTTTTTGAAAGACTAAGCCAACAATGTCCAACACTATGGGGAAAACGGAAAAAAAATTACATATAACTTAACTAAATATTAAGTTGTCACTTTTTCGGCATAATTTATGTGTATAGTATACTCATGGCAAACTACAACTTTCTAGTACCAACAGTTTATGAGCAAAAGCGCGGGCGGCTAGATTAGCGAAACTATAAGGTTTCCTGGTTTACCACGAAACCATAGTTCCGGTCAGTGAAGCATTAAAATATATAGCACAACTTTTTAACAACGTTTTACAATTTATTGGCACAAAAATTTTCCACCGGCAATCTTTAGTATCTAGAAAATTCAAGTTCACCTTTCAACGGCACCGAGAATTGACATTTAATTAGATCAGAGGCGACGTGCCGATCGCCTCCTTGGATGACCTCCCGACTCCATTATCTTATTACTCTGTCCCATTATTGCGTTACTAATTTTCCTGTACATCGAGTAGCTAACTAAGTTTCTGTTCGCGTAAAGGGCGCGTTTTGATTGTCAATTACTTGGTCGTGGACGGCAAAGGGTGTTCAAAGGAAAGACCAGGATGCAATTAACAGTGTGGACTAAACTTCGTATTTCTCTTGCCAATATACACTTTCCTGAGGCTTCATATTAAGTACGTAAAAAAAGACGATCAAACACAAGTTGAAATCGCGACTGGGGTTTCGTGTTTATACAAATATTATAGAGAGGGAAGATTTGTTTGCATCGAATAGGCCACGAAGCTACTACTCGTAAGAATTAACATGACACCAGAAGGCCTATTCCATTTCTCCGAAAACGAAATTTAATATTTCTTCGAAATGCTAATACAATTCTAAAGAAAAGCATTTTCCATAATTTTTGATGCAACGGAGTTTCGATCTGACATCGCCTCGGACGCACAAATAATCTTTGCAGATATGATCTTAACGAAATTATAAGAACGAATCGAAATTTTCCGAAATATAATAGACAAATAGAATAGGTCTCAGATGTCATGTTAATTATTATATTTTGATTAATTTTGCATTCCCAATGCCATACTGAAAATTATTCTTAATACAAACAGCTTAAAAATCCACTTGGTCCCTGGCACCCTGAGATGGGAATCGAACCCACGACCTTTCGCAATCCGGAATTGCTTAAAAGTTTATATATTTGCGATTTACGAATACACTTTCACATACAAATTTTAAACTCAATATTTTATTTATTTCAAATTTATCACTCATTTTTGGTAGTAAATTGGTCATTATGCATTTATTTACATTATCTATACCAACATTTTTGAGCATGTAACATATATCTACTTCAACTCTACAAACATAGTCATTTTTTCTGAGAAAATTAGTCGTGAAAATGAACTCAGAGATAGACAGACACGTGAGTAGTCTTATAAGGATTTTGTTTTCCCTTTTAACGTATCAAACTATGAAGAAAACTGCTTGAAAAATCTACCAGCCCCAAGTAACCCGAGATATTAATTCAGATGTTAATGTGTCCAAATACATTTGCTTCTGTATATACAATATAGACTTGGGAAAGAAAAGAAAAACACTGTTTACGCGTCAACAGCACATTTACAATTAGTGCGGCTTGGAATCTTAGAAGTATTTAAACTTAGTAGGCGATTCCACTCACCACTTAAATGTTGCAATGAGTAAATCATAGAGAAATTTTAAGAGTAAATTGTTTTAAGAGAGAAACCTTAGTAATCAATTATCTCGTAAAAATATTGAAAATTAAAGATGTCACAGTAACAAAAATGGCGGAGTGTTTACACGCCTGAAAGTTTCTTAAAATTTATTTTATTTCATATTATTATTTTTTTTCGAGTTATATATACATATAATCGTACCACTATGTCGAGCAGCAGCAGCTCTGAAGAAAATGTGGAAACGGTTTTAGATGCCGTAGAGATTGAAAGCTCCGGAGAAGAACCACCGATGAGTGAGTGGTCTTCACTCACCATATCTCTTCAGGAGGAAAACAAAAAAAGAGCGCTGCACGCAAAAGGTCTTTACTCTCCTGGAAGCGGCGAAGTATGCGGGAAGTATATAACAATGTCTGATAGCGAAATCTTCAAACATCACTATTATAACTACCCCGCTGTTCACGATCCTGGCATCATGAACGCTCTCTTGACCAGTGATAAGCCTACCATATATGCAGACGACGGTCGAGACTTATATATAGCACTCTGTGAAGAAATGAATACACCTGTCGTAAGAATGTTTCACTCTGGTCTTTCCAGTGATGTAATCAGTCTCAGTTACTATGGCCTTGACCCATATGCAGTCCGTCCAATAGCATTGGCTCTTCAGTATAATAAATCTGTACGTCGATTAGACCTAAGTGGTAATTTTCTCAACGATGACGCCTGCTTTCATTTGTCTCAAATGTTGACTACCAACACAGTAATAAAAGAACTTAATCTGAGCGGATGCCGCATAGAACCTTCAGGTATATTACGTTTAGGAAGCACTTTAGGTGTAAATAGGAGTCTCGAAGTCCTCAACCTTTCGAAGAATTGCATGGGTGAAGAAGGTGGAATACATTTTGCTAAACAGATCGGAGATGGTGCTGGAGTACCACGTATAAACTTGAGTTACAATGAACTTGGCAGACTTTCAGCGTTCGCATTAGCCGAGGCTTTAGAATATCGAAACAAAATAACTCATTTAGACTTGTCCTGGAACAACTTTTTCCATGCCCCTTCAGCAGTTAAGATGTTCGAACAATTGGCAGACAGTGATGTATTAGAAGAACTAAATTTATCTTGGAATTCGTTGGAGGGAGAAAGAATAGCCGGTGCCATTTCATCACTTTTGCTTATACCGAAGCTGAAAATATTGAATTTGAGTAATAACAGACTCAAAGATGAAGCAATAACACTAATTATTTCCAAACTTATGAAAGCTAAGAAATTGTCAACTATTGATTTCTCGTTCAACCCTTTGAGTACTACAGATGCCTACGCCGTATTGGAAAAGATGTTAAGACCTCGTGTAAAAGTTGATACTCTGTTAATGGAAGGTATATCTGTAGAGAAAAAATTCCTTGGATTACTGGAGAAGGTTATGAAGATGAAATGCCGCAAAAACTTTTCAGTTAAACATGGAAGAGTTCTCAGTAACTGGACAATTGAAGGTCCTAATGTAAGAACAGTATTATTAGAAAGAGCAAGCTATCTTGGACGAAAAGATAAAAAGAGGCGTGTTGATATAGCTCTATTCTTCTTAAGGATGTATAAAGAATACCCGAAACCGATTCCTGTGAAAACACTCATGGATCAAATAGATTTGGAGAAGGTTCCTTTGGATGAGGATTTAATTAACGAGATGGCAGGCTTATTCCCTGGACCAAAGAGTGCAAAAACGAAATTGATTAACATCGAAGCTGTTTGTGAATATATTCATAGGATTTGGCCCGAGAAAAAGTTGCCACCGACTCCGCCGCCTGAACCAGAACCTGAACCAGAGCCAGAGCCGCCACCACCTCCACCGAAAGGCAAAAAAGGCAAAAAGAAATAACATTTTATTTGGAATGATATTTAGAAATCCTTTTTTTCATAATGGTTTATTTTTGTAGTTCAATTTATACTTTCATAGTGTTTATTTCTTTATTATTAATTTCGATGTATTTTAGATTTTTTTAAGTTATTGTAAAGTATTTTTTAACCACGGCATACAATTAGATTTTGATAAGATTTATTTTTAAAATTATCAATTTATTACATATCGCTTCTTGTGCTGGCTGATGTCGTATTCGGTGATCTTTATTTTTATTGCTATTGATGTATTAATAAATGTACACAAATAAAACGTTTATTTTTAAACTCTCACAAGAATAAGGACTGGAGGGTATAAACGACTGCAAATGCAACCGCTTAACGTGGTCATCCATCCTGTGGCCGACCTTTGCGAAGGTTGCGCAACAACAACGATCGTGGGCCGTGGCGCTTATCCACTACGCCACCGAGCGAACCGAGCATTTAATAAATATTCTCAGTTAAATCATATTCAAACATCGTTATTTACTAGAATGCAGACGAATAATCTTATTACGGCCACTTCCGGCCACTGAACGCCAACAGGCATCTTCCAGAAGCTTCGAACAAGCCATTTCCGTTGACACTACCCTCACAGTCACATGTCAGATGCAAAGACAGAACTTAATAGCTCTTTTGTCATGCTTCATTTTGATTCTAACTAGGCGTTGCTTTTACATATTTGCCTTTTAACAGTTTAAAAAGGAACTACTTTTTTTTTAAGATTATTTGACATCATGTTTCATAGACACTAACAACTACACACTGTTTAAGAACTACACAATCGGTATCTAAATAGAAATAATGTAAGTTTTAACATTCTTAACGTCTGGGTTCGCTTCCCGAATTGAGAATTAGTTTTTTTATGTACGAATGTAGTTTTTCTTGTTACTAAAATAGACATTCTTATGGCAAGATCTTCCTAAGTTTTATTGTTTCGGACTTTAACATACTAAGCGTTCTAACTGGATTGGGGAGAATTTAGATTATTAGATTGGACCCAAGAAATTTGAATATTTGTACTATAGACTATAGTTTTTTGGATTTGACCTATCAAATTAAGTTTAGTATAAAAGGACCTGGATGATCGAGCTTTACTAGGTGTTTTTCTTAGAAAATGAAACCTATCTAAGATTTGTCACATCGAAACCCGTGGAAAATCTTTGGAGCTATTTCCGAGATTGTTATTGAAAGGTATTCGATGCACAAATAACACAGTTGGTACCATTGCGTTAGGAATACCACTTTGCAAGCATATACTATTACAGACACATGTTCATTACGAGGTGGTTGGTGTGAGGCGCTCGCACCGCACAAGGCGATTGTTAACGGACTATTATGCCTCGAGGGCCCTACACCTCGAGTTGAGCTCGCTGTAGAGGCCTTCCGATGCAGTGTGGAGATGCCCTAATGAATTCTCCGGCATCTCTTGTAAGTTGAACAATAAATTCCAGTTCATACCTTCATTTCTTGTATGGCTTTCTTGATCATTGTTTCATTATTAGTTATATGAACAGGATGTTCACTCGTAAAATTTCAAACATACTGCTTTTAAGTATAAAATTAGAAAGCAAAAAAATATTTACATACTATTTTATGGTATGTCAGATAAAAACACAACAGAATATATGAATTCTTTAGAAAACTGAAAATAACACCAATCATAATAAGCGTGTCATATATTCCAAAAACTTATATTGCAATCGAGTATTTAATATTAATAATTAATACAAAATCTATAAAAATATTATCATGTATCAGAAAAAGATTATATGTAAAAAAATAAACAAAACCCGAAACATATATGCCAGAAATTTATCTTCTCATCTATACCAGAGTATAATAGTTCCAATAAATTACTTCTCATTTTAATTTTATTGTCACGACGTATTATAATCTTGAGTAAGATGGTGTGATAATTAGTGCTGTAAGAGGCACATATTGTTAATAAAGTGCATGCGCCGCGTTGAGTAACACCCGCTAATTGCATCGACCACGATCTCTAGAATAATGCTTAAAGTAGAGCATACTTGTGGATACATAGTCTTTTACTATACTACAGTCGCGTCTATCGGTGTCTTATCAATAAAGATAAGTTTACAATGAGATACTGTAAAGAATAAGAACGGCAAATCAAACTATTTAAGCCGAATTCGTTTTTTTCTGGGTCTCTTACCGCACACGCCTCTGCAGCTTTAAATACATTTTTTCACCCCCATTGTGATATTGTAATACTCACCCCCTCCATTCTTGTAGCAGAGGTAAGGGAAGCGCCAAACATTGGCTAGATCCACCGCGAAGCCGATGACGGAGAGTAAGAAGTCCACCTTCTTGCCCCACGTCTCTCGCTCGCCGACCCCCGGCGTCGGTGTCTTCAGTGCCATCCTACTGCTTCAGACGAAGCCGCCACACCCTGTCAATAACACAATGTCTTTTGAGTGCGCAAAAAGAGAAAAAGAGAGACGAAATCGAGTGCCCAGTCAATGACACGCATAAAGAACTCTATGGTTCTCTCGCTGGTTTCAAGATCGCTGCCTCTGAAGGCCTGTATTCGATTTCCGGTCGGGTTAATATAGAAAACTAACTTTTATAGATTGTCTTAGGTCTGGGTGTTATGTTACTTGCGTACAAATTGTAACGTATGTATACAAATTGTAAAAAAAAGAGTCGATAACTATTTTAGATTATTTGCTATTCGATACCTGACTACCGTAATCTACCAGTTCCAACTTTGGGAGTCTTGTCTGAGAAGAACTGGCGAAATAAAATCACACTAGAAAAAGTGAATTGCTCCCTTTCATTTAATATTTACAGAATTAACTAACTGTCTTTTGGTTTTGCATATTTTCGTATCAAATTAACCCATAGCTGCATGTGCATTTCACTGGCTGGTGTGAATTGAACTAAATATCGTTCGTAAATCACATTCAACTACGCGTTTCTCTGTGTATAGCAGCACCCGCGATAGATCACATATTTTGTCTATAAGGAGAAGTTTCTTTTTGCCCACTCCTTCCATCTTGCCTTCCCTTCCCTTACACATTTATCAATTTTCACTGTAATTAAAGTCATTATTACGAGAGGAAATTGAATAAAGTTGTTTTTTTTTTCTTTAAATAATGTGCCCAATTACCTACATTATTTAGAGTTTACAAACGATTTGAATTAGAAATTGGGTCTTAGAAAAAAAAAATCTCTAGTGCCTGAAATAATCAGTTACTCAGTTTCAGTGCTGAGAAATAGTGGCATCCACAGTAAAATTACTCCACGGCACATGCCCAATTTTGAAGCCGCGGCTACGCAGAACCTAAATCCAAATACTTATGAAAGTCCATACTGTGTGGCGACATTATACAAGAATATAGTCATAGACTAGATTAAACAAATCTCTGTGTCTATAAAAAGAACCTCTTAATTATAACCCTCCTAATTAGGCACACGACAATCGACCACTCGACTAGCTCATGCAGTAATTAAATGACGAATATTATCACGGACGCGCTCAGTAGCGCCACTCGCTCGACTCTTGACTGACCGCAGGCGACAAAATAAAGGATGTCACGTTACTGAAAAACACAATATTTATTTAGCCACTTTCTTTTCATTAAACCGCAGAGATTTTAATAATAAAAATTTGTTTTTTTTTCTTTTCTTTTTTTTACCATATTTACTTGGTATAAAATAGCTTATCAATATATTTAAAGGTTTTTTCATTAGAAGAAGTTCAATTTGCCGTTACACTACCGCCATCTCAAACTACAATTGTCTATCAATTTTATTGTTTTAAATTAGGTTACGTAAATTTACTGTTTATATCGCATGCGTGTATTGATTAAAATTTATAATATAAATAAAACAACCGATCGATTACATAAGTTGATAAAATAAATAATATAATTATTTTACGTCATAACAATTTATATATTTAATCATCATCAGGATAAATATAAATATTTAAAAATATCGTGATGGATGGGAAGTATCAATGTCTTTTATTAAAAAAAAAATTATAGATTTTTCACAGTCGACAGCCCTACGTTGATTCGGACGGGCCGAGTGGCTGTCACAGCCAGGGACGTAGCGACAGACTGAAAAACCTTCCACGTCACGCCTGTCGCTACTCCACAAATTGGATTTGACCAGCAGCGCTTCACTACGGAGATTTTCGAGAGGTAGACCGCTCACGCGTATTGGAAAACAGTGGAAAATGTCAAGAGTATTACTGCAATAGCGTTATGAGAGAATTGAGGGTTCTAACGAGTAGAGGTGTGATCATGCCGACTAAAATATTCAAACAAATTAGTGCTGGTAATTGTTTTGTTTCCTAAAGATAAATAACACATATTTCGCTAATTGGAAAGAGTTTGTAAATTGTATTAATCCTTTGAGTAGTTGCTACATAAAATTAAAGAAAAACTTTCTTTACTGCTACTAAAATATAAAGTAGTTATATCAATAACTCTGTAATTTTATTCATAATTCCTGAGTATAATCCTAGGGTAAATCGATTTCATTATATCATGGGGTTTTGATGTTGATTGACTGGTAATCACTATCAAAAACTTTGTAATAATATATCATTAATGTAATTTCTATGATAAAACCTTTTATCATTTATTATATTGGGCTGTCTTTCCAAAACATTTTTTATAAAACAATAAACACCTGCTTGATTCTTATTTTTTGTAAGACTTTAATATCGTTCTTTATTAAGTATAAAAATATTAGATTATTATTGAATAAATATGTATGTATAATTGTAAAATATCTGTTGCTTGATGCTTAATATTAATACTTTAGACGAACTTCAGTGGTTTATTACAATGTAGTAAGAATTAAAATTGTAAACTTTTTGTGGATACAATAATAAATGGAAAAAATATACATCTGCACAGACAAACTTATTATTATTGTTACAATGTCTAAACTATTTTTTGAGTGTCAGCTCTTCTGACAAGTTATTAAAAATATAAATAAGTGAAA